TTATATATTTACATTAGAATTAAAAATTATCATTTACGGATTATTTCTTAATGGTTTTAAACTTATTAGAATTATTTTATTTCTTTCAAGTTATTTAATTTCTAGTTATTTACAGGCAACAATAGTTTTGATTATATGTATTGATGTATTGAAGTACTACCGTGATGAGTCTTATAGAACAATACACGTCAATGGGAGATAGAGGTAACATTTTACCTATAGTGTTACTAATATAATATACTTTGATTATAATGTTTGTATCATAATTTCTTAAAAATATCAAGTTAGTGGATTAATAGCAATTTTAGACATATGTTTTATCGAAGAGTGTTGATACTAACTAAAATAAGCTTTATGTTTTATCTTTTTCTGTTTAGAAGGGAGATGGTTTGTGTCGTAGAATACATTACAGTATTTAATATCGTGTACTTTGATATTCTTTTATTAATCTACTGTAATTTCTTGTTTCCTATAATGCCAAATCTTGACAATATTGTGAAGGTTGAGGTTTGATCTTATTAGTTTTATACCTGTGTTTATACAAGACCAAATTAAGACTTAGTTAGTTTGTGATTTATATTAAGATCTTTCTTATAATATTTGTTATGTCTTAATCTTTTAATGCTATATTATGCTTTGTCTGGAAAATAAATGTTAAAATATCTTAATTTTACATATCCTTCCATCCTTCCATTAGGAAAAATATGGTTTATAAATCATATATGCTAAGAAAATCACATAAATTAGGTGTAATAGAGAAATATTAAGGTAGCAGAAAAATTAATGCAATATATTTATAAGCAGAATTAAACAAGGTAACTGTTAATGTTGTTGAAGCTGATTCTACAATTTTAAATACGGAGGCTAAAAGGCCTTTTAAGGCCTCCCTAGTTTTGATGGAATGTTAAAAAAAAACCTATTATGAACATATGACATGGAGCTACAGCATTTAAAAATTAGAAAAAGAAAAACTTGTACACGTCCCTTTTAATTTCCCGAATTTTTAATAAAGCACTTTTTAAACGTAGCATAATAATCTAGAGCAATTAGATTAATTATGAGAATCTACACTTTTATTTCTATTTAATTTTATTGACTATGAAAATACATAATAAGCGTTCACGTGTTGTGCGAAATATTAAAATAATAATATAAACAGATATAAATAATATACCGCGTACTATGATTGAAAAAAAATAGAGTCAGCGATGACTATGAAATGAAGATCGCTGTCATTTTATATGGGAAATGTCCTCAATCGTCATTTCCCAACCAACTGGACGCCGTTTTTTCGATTATACGGTATATGTTGACAAAAAAACACTGAAACGCACATATTTGTTTTCTACTAAAAATGATTCCAAAATAATTTGCAATCTGGCAACATCGAAGATGTGCGCATGCGTAGTGTCTGTGACTATATGCAGCAAAAACTCGTTTCAAGGTTAGCCACCGGATCCACACCATTACCGGTTGCCGTATTACAATATTGAAAATTTCGTTTTTTGTAGCATCATTATGTAGCATGTAGCATGGTACAAAGAAAACAAGGTATGATCGATAGCGGCTCCAATTTCGTTAAGTTTGCGCATACCACCTGTGACGTCATACGCCATACAAAAAAATATTCATATTGTCCAATTGCCACTAATAAAAAAAGACCTAAAATAGGGTAGAATTAGGACATAACCCCAAAAGTTATGTCAAATCATCGAACTTGACATTTGAAAATTTATTTTCACATTTATTATGTCATCTGTTTCACAATTTGAAATTGGCGCGCGGAGCTTGCCGACCAATGGTGCCGTTTATCACCTGTGACGTAGTGACCAACCTGCGCAATATCATACCTTGTATTCTTTGTATCATGAGCATGTAGTAAAATTTCCAGCACGTCAGTAGTTGCCAGGGTATACCGTTGCCACTGTTGCCAGTATTTGCCAGCCTTGGTTGTCAGCAGGGTTCGGAAAACTACATGTTACTTCTACATAAACTACATAAACTACATTACATGTAGTTAATGTAGTTTATGTAGAGGGTGTAGTTTATGTAACCTATCAAATATCAAAGGTTTGAGGTGAGGTTGTAATAAGTTGAAGCTTTAGAAAACACAATGTATTTAAGAAAACAGAAGAAATATGGCTTTAAATATAATATTCGCACATCATATTATTTAGACCCCTCCCCTCATACAAAGCAAAATTATTCATAACATAATATCAATACATAGTTTATTAACGTCGTTTTCATGTAGTTAATGAACGGGAAGAGACGTAGTTTTTGAAGAAAAACTACACGTAGTTAATCAGGTAAATTACGTCTTAATTAACTACTTCCGAACCCTGGTTGTCAGGGTGCAGCCACACTATCCTAAAAACGGCGTATCGGCGTAACGGCGTAATGACCTTGAATAGATTTCCAGTAATTCTATTGGCTGAAACATTCATCTGTCAGAAATTTTATCTGTCAAATTCATCTGTCAAAAATTTCAGCCAATAGAATTACTGGAAATCGATTCAAATATGGCACTTCAAATATAATATTTACATCATTTAGACTCTAGGGATACCACAGCAGCCTCAGTGGAATAATGCCATATACCAGTGCCTTCTATTAAAAGATCAGCCTACGGGCGAGATTTATGACGTCACGCTAGTTAGATATAACGGATTAATAAATATTTTGTAGAATACATGGAAAACATAATTATTCCTCAGATTTTTGGTTTGTATTTTAAAAATGATATAGTTTACATGAAATATACATAATATACAGTTAATAACTACAACATATATACCTATTTATAGTAATAAATACTTTGGCAAAATAAACTATGAACCATACAAATGCAGCAAATGTTTTACAATGTACAAGTAATGTATAGGTACATAAGATAATGGATAAAATGTAAATATATTTTTTAAATTTTGGGGGTTTGAAAATCGATCTAATTTAACAAAAAAACATTCAATATCTACTAATAGTGATGTATTATTATATGCATTCACAAAAATTTTTATGTATATTTTGCAAGTATCAATGTTCGAAAAATTATATTTACAAATAATACAATATTATCTAAAAAGGCGTCAGCGATGGCTATGAAATGAAGATCGCTGGCATTTTATATGTAAAATTATTCTAAAACTTTTTATTTTCTTGGGATTTTAGGTTCAGGAAAAACGCCGATTTAAGTTTTCATTTGGGTTTTCATTATTTTTATTTGGTTTAAGAAAACGTTTCGGCTAACTATAGCCTTCATCAGTGTTGTGTCATATAGAAAAATAGTGTCGAATATAATCCAAAAATTACATATACAATATAATTCACACCTCATAATGTTTACTGCAATTAATAAACTAATATAAACTTATCAAAGATGACCACATATTTTTTAAAATTATTATTCTTAACACTAAAATTATCTACATTGACTATGGGTACGCAGTAAACATTATGTGCGTGGTGTGAATATTTTATATGTAATTTTTTGGTTTATATTCGACACTATTTTTTCATATGACACAACACTGATAGAAAGCTATAATGTTAGCCAGAAACGTTTTTTTAAACTAAATAAAAATAATGAAAAACCAAATGAAAACTTAATCATCGTTTTTTCCGAACCTAAATCCCAAGAAAATCAAAAATTTAGAATATTTAGAAACAAAGGTTCAAGAATATCAAATTTTCCAAGATTGTAAATTCTAGTTAATTATTTTATGTGTACAGTTATTTAGGGAATGTCATCGATGTTCATGTCCAAGCCAACTAGACGCCGATTTTTTTTCGATGATACAGTATAATTCTTACATAAAATGTAAATAACATTAGACCAATTAAAACAAAGAAATATTAATTTCTTGGTATTTTTAATAACACCTTTATTCTTAAAAACTTAATTTTGTATTATGCAAATATACCAATTTTATTGTTATTTTATTCATATTGTATTCAGCCATCACTTAAATATTTGATATTAATTTGGTATTATAAATAATCAACTCTATTCATTAAAATTACTGCACAAATATATATGTTATGCTTGACATACATTATATATTATCAAACAAAAAAAACACATTCTTCTTTTAAACTGTATCAGTCTTGTCTTTACAAAAATCTTTTTTTAAAATTTGAACTCAAAATAATAATCTTTTCATGATCTTTAATATACTTATTCTTTATTTTCCCTAGATCATAATACCTACTACGTGTTTGAATCTATCGAAGCTGAACCAACAACACTTGGAGTGGAGATTCCACAATATGAATAAAATAAACATAATTGTCCAGTTTTCATTAATACCATCATGGGAGAATATTATTTTTAAATTTATTAAAGATATTTTAAATAGAATTCTCTTGATTTATAACTCGTACCCACTTTTCTTGCTCTTCCGGACACTTTAGGCTGCTTAGTATAACTATCCTTTCCACCAGGAACACAACAAAGATGAGGCATAGCACCAAAAACACACTCCACTTAAGCTTTATTGATGAATTGTTAAAGTCTTAAAAAACACATCGTTGTATCACGATGAGTAAAAAATGTATGGGCACTTTTAGGTTAAATCACTTACACAACGTGTACTTTTTCAATTTTTCCATTTTTTTATGCGTAACCGAGAGTGACCATATATCTGGTAGTAGTTTATGTCACTTAAACACCAAAATAATTAGTTTTTTGCACTACAATAATAAATAATACCATAAATCATAGAGTTAAAACCAAAAATCAACCGACAAAATATGAAACGGAATCTAACCCAATATCTAAGTATGTACAGCTGATGAAGTAAACAAAAGTCCGCCCCCGGGCTGATCTTTTAACAGAAGGCACTGCATATACCTATTATTTAATTTTATAATACATATATGAATAATGCGCTAAATATTTGGCAACACTGCCTTTAACCTTCAACTAATAGGCAACCAGATATATGCAACATGTATGCAACATGCAACGCAACCTAACCTAATTTTTTACCGTCGTTTTCTGTTCCACAGTTCTGTTCTGTTTTTGCTAAGTGTTTCTGTATGTTTCCAATACTTATTTATTCTATAAAAATATATTTAACAGTATAATAATATAGTTATGGATATATAATATAGTTATGGATTTAGACAGTTTTTTTCCGTTGTTAAATTAATTGTTATATCTCAATCTTTAAAGCTTAACTGAATATCGAGTGGTAAGCAGCCAGGTACACGTGAGGAGCCACAAAATGAAGAATAAATCTGCAAAACATAAAGATACGAATACTTTTAAGGTACATAGAATACAATAACAATTTTATTGTCTTAATTGGTATTATGAATTATATCCTATTTTAGTTTCAACCATTCTCAGAGCGTTTGTCGAACATTAATATAGACATTTTTCATAAAATTCGACATGAATATGAGTCTACAACAGAAGAGCAAGAGTGTTATTTTTATCAAACTGTACAGAAATGGAATACATTGAACTTGACAGAAGCATATAGTCAATTTAAAAAAGAAATTAGAATCAGTAATTGTATATTATTGCCTGAACTGTTATTAGAAAAGCATAATGTTATTTACGCTCTAATACGGCATATTAAGCAGGGAAATCCATTATGTTTACAACCACTATTAGAGTATGTATTTTAATGTTATTTATCTTACATACGACCCTAATTTCATCAATTTTTAGAATTTTGGTGGCTTTAGTGCAGGATTTGCAGAAGGAATTTTATCCATACTATTCCCAATTCTTAGACATTTTAATAGAATTATTAAATACAAAAGATACAGAAGTCCTAGAGTCGATATTTACATGTTTGGCTTATATGTTTAAATATTTATGGAGGCATTTTATAAAACATATTAACAATGTATTTAACTCTCTATTGCCACTTTTGTCAGATGACAAGCCTGACTACATCAATAGTTTTGCTGCAGAAAGTTTTGCATTTGTGGCACGAAAAGTTAAAGATAAGGAAGCGTTTTTAGAATTGCTATTAAATTCTGTTAAGAAACAAAGTGATGTAAGTAAAGTTAATAATTTAACTTATGTATTAATTTATTTACACGTTATTTAAGAGTTAAAAGAAACATTTTAAGTAGTATAAATTTCATCATAAATAATAATTCCTCCATTACGTGTTTTCTGTTCTGTAACCAACATTTATTTTCTTTTCTCGAGTTTGCACATAATTCACAATATTGGGTAATCCATTAATATAATATTGAAGGGTCAGGGGAAAAAAGCAGGTAAGTCAATTTTTTTGCCATATTTAAATATTCGGTGCATTTGGTGTGGATGTAAGAATTTTTAGAAACTGCTAAACTGGGAAAAAGCAGACTAGTGAAAAGATATGTATAGTATATGACGTCAAAATTGTAATTAAGGTCCGTTAAGGTTAATTGTTCTCGGTCCCGTCCTCGGTATAAAAACGCCGAGATTATCGACCACTGCTGATACGTCACACGAATGTCAAATTAGCTAATTTGACAATTTAATTTAATAATTTATATATTTTTTTATTGATGCGTTGATGTTGAAATAGGTTGAATATACCAGTTGTCAGACAGTTTAGAAAAAGCTGATAGGCCAGTAAGCGAGGATGAAAATAGGGTATTACCTCCAAATTCTTTACACCCGCACCGATTAACGTCAAATTTTAACAGTGAATAGAGATATACAGGGTGGTCCGAACTGTATTCCGGAAACTTCGGCAGCATATTCTGCAGATAAAAATAATTAAAAAAGTTCGTATAAATGTATGTCCTAAAATGGATAATTTCAGAGACACAGCTTCATTTTTATTTCGATTTTTTCCAAATAATTTCTGAAGTAACGTCAATGTTTGGATGAAAATTGGTGTCTGGTACTTTTTTGACATGAGAAATTTGATTTTGATGTCAATATGATTCCTACTAATAGAGGGCGCCACCTACATGTGTTTTAACTGTTTTGAAGCGTAATAACTTTTTGTCCGTACCTGTATAAAACTACCGAGGAAAAAAATATACATCTCTGTGACTTTTCACGCACAAAATATCTGTAAAAATCGCTACGAGCAACCGTTTTCAACCGAAATAGTCAATACATGTCATTATTGACGAAAAATAAACACGTTGAATAGATAGTTATTTCACTGAAATAATGAATTTGGGAAATTTTTATTTTTTTTTAATTAATGATAAATTTTTCTGCAAAAAAATGATGATAAAACAGTTTCTGTTGAACTTTTAGCACAAAAACATTCAAATATATTTTTCAGTCTAATAAATATTTAGTCAACATATGTTTAATTTATGTCAATGATGACAGGTATTGATCATTTCGGTTCCAAATATTTTGAAAACTATTAAGCTTGATTTTCATGCATCCGTTGTCCGACGATACGATGATAGATATTAATTTTATTGGTTGAATTGAAAGACTTTGATTGGTTAGAAACGGTTAACCAATCGAAGTCTTTAAAATCAACCAATAAAATTAATATCGTACCATCGTATCGTCGGATAACGGATGCATGAAAATCAAGCTTTACTCGTAGCGATTTTTACCAAGAGACCTTTTTTACGTCGTAAATGTATATTTTTTTACTCAGTAGTTTTATACAGATACGGACGAAAAGTTATTACTCTTCAAACCAGTTAAAAATATGTAGGTGCCGCCCTCTACTAGTAGGAGTCATAATGACATCAAAATCAAAATTTTCATGTCAAAAAACTCCCAAACACCAATTTTCATCCAAATATTGACGTACTTCAGAAATTATTTGGAAAAAAATTAATTAAAAATGAAACTTCTACACCCTGTATCTCCGAAACCAAGCATTTTAGGACATACATTTATACGAACTTTTTTACTTATTTTTATCTGCAGAATATACTGCCGAAATTTCCGGAATACAATTCGGACCACCCTCTATGTAAGAAACAAAAGTTACATAGTAGCGATGTGTGCTTTCACCCTGGGGGTGAGTGCCACCCATTCTCCGGGGTAAAAAATACATCACCCATTTTAATTGCAGAAATCAATAAAGGGATGAATTCTAAGCAAAAAATGGTCTATAACATTTTTTCAGAAAACTAATATTTTCCGAGCTATTTAGGATTGAAAATGTTTTTTCATCTAAATACTGCATATTTTTCTGACATTTTTTATAAATAACTCAAAAACCTTCGAGTTTTATCGCAAAATTTATATAAACTAAAAATGAAGCTTTTAAGGAATAACGAATCGACTCATTTTTTGTTGATTACCGTAGGTGTACCGTGAGTTGTGATTTTTTATTTTTCGAAAACTAAATTGCAACCTCTAACCGTAAAATAATGGCGAAAGAATACAATTTTCAAAGAAAATTAATATGACCGTTATGATGACGTTAATAAATTGCTTGAAAAGACCTTGTAAATGTTTTTTTAAAAGGTTTTTTCAAGTTCGTAGCTCAAAAACTCGCGGAGTTATGATAAAAATAAAAAGGTCACCTCATTTTTTCGAAAAAAAAATTAACAACAAAATCTATGTAAAATCATAAAAATAAGAACTATCAATTTGTAGGAAATTACACGAGCTACAAATTAACCTCTATAATTGAACAGTCTTGAACTCTTCATTTTTACGAGATTTACGGGTTGTAAGGGCTCAAAGAAGGTGGTCCTTACACCCAAGTCAAACTAAAAAAACGTAATATCTACGAAATAAAGAGATCTACAGAAAATTGAAACAGAGCAAAAATATTGCAAAAAAGACCTTCAATTTTACTCTGTTGCATTTTTTACGTATCTTGCTTAGTTTTTGAGATATGTCTAAAAAATGAAATTTCATTACTTTCAACTTTTTTCCAAATTTAGGCCTTCTAAACTGCCCGAACTTGCAGAGCCCATTTTTAATGTCTAAATATAGCCAACTGTGCAATGTGGGTCAAATTCGCCGCTTTTAAATGGAAACATCTTTTTCTATAGGAGATAGACGAAAACTAATATCGGTGTCTGGAGCTCAATTTTTATCAAAAACATGATGGTGAAAACCGCACATCAATATCTGTTACCGTTTCGGAGTTACGGGGTGTTTTTCAAAAATGTGCATTTTTAACAAATCGCTGTAACTTTTTTGCTATGGAAAATTTTGTATTTCTATGAAAACTTTTCCAAAGCACCTTTTTACGTAGAATTTAATGGTTTAAGTATAATTTTTTTAAAATTAATAATTTATGAGTTATCAACAGAAAAATTGATTTTTTATTTGGGACACCCTTTATATTTTTAATTAACTGAAAAGAATTTAAAATTACCTTTCCAAAAATATAGCATACTTGATATTTTGTTATAATCCCTTTCGAAATACAGAATTTTTAAAAGTTCGCCACTTTTAACTAGTAGGATTTGGATCCCTTATTGATGATATGCCCTTAATGGAACTCGAAAACATATTTTTCCAGCAAGACGACGCACTGCCTCTGAACGCTGAAGTTATCAGCAAATTTTTGCAGCCAATTTCAAGAATAATTGAATAGATAACCAAGATCCCAGCCGTTGGCCGTCGAGGCCGCCTTGGATCTAATCCTATGGATATATTTGCGGAAGAATAAAGGTTTCTTATTCTTCCGTATAATCTAGACAAGAATTAGAAATACTTAGCAGTTATGAGAGGGTATCTTTTACCCCCACTGAGTTGAATTCCGCGAGAAATGTTCAAAAACTGTCCCGTCTGTCCATAACAGAAGACAGAGAGATATGTCGAACACCTGTAGCAAACTCTCATGTCTTGGTTTGCTATTTATTTTTATTGTTATTAGATATAGTTTAAATATGTTGATGTTGGTTAAATATATTTTAAATTGTTATAAAATTCTGCATCTCTTATAGCAAATATTATTTTCGTTTTAATTGATGCTCACAGCTAGAATTTTATTGCATTACAGCCGGTGCCATTCAAAGCCTACTTACTTAAAGCGGGCGAATTTTTATATACTCTATATCTCGAAGAGGAATCGAGCAAAATTTTAAGTGTGTTATATTTTTGGAAAGGTAATTTTATATTCTTTTCAATAAATTAAAAATATACAGGGTGTCCCATATAAAAAACCAAATTTTCTGTTGATAATTCTTAAATTATTAATTTTAAAAAAATTATACTTAAACCATTAAATTCTACGTAAAAATGTGCTTTGGAAATGTTTTCATAAAAATACAAAATTTTCTATAGCAAAAAAGTTACAGCGATTTGTTAAAAATGCATATTTTTGAAAAACACCCCGTAACTCCGAAACGGTAACAGATATCGATATGCGGTTTTCACCATCATGCTTTTGACAAAAATTGAGCTCCAGACACCGATATTAGTTTTTGTCTATCTCCTATAGAAAAGGGTGTTTCCATTTAAAAGCGTCGAATTTGACCCACCCTGTACATGTATTACCCTTAGTTTTTATTTTTATGATTTTAGTCATAGATTTTCTTGTTAATTTATTTCCGAAAAAATGAGGTGACCATTTTATTTTTATCATAACTCCGCGAGTTTTTGAGCTACGAACTTTTTTAAAAAGGCATTTAAAAGGTCTTTTCAAGCACTGTAAAAACGGTCATATTCAATTTCTTCGAAAAATGTGTTCTTTGGCCATTATTTTACGGTAAAATGTTGCAATTTAATTTTCGAAAAATAAAAAATCACTTTTACAGAGTGACAACTTGGCTACCTACACTGCAACCTACGCTAATTAACAAAAAATCGATTGTTTAGTTAATCCAAAAGCTTCATTTTTGCTTTATATGAGTTTTGCGATAAAACCATAAAACACAAGGTTTTCGAGTTATTTATAAAAAATGGCAGAAAAACATGCAGTTTTTAGATGAAAAAGCAACGTTTTCAATCCTAAATAACTAGGAAAATTTTAATTTTGTGAAAATGTTATAGAACATTTTTTGAGACGCACCCGGTATAATTTATTTCATGTGACTTGAAAATAAATTTATATTTTTTTGAAACCCGCGCCTTCACCTATATGCTTCACGTCAAATATTTATGTCTTTTGAATCCTCTGTTGCCAATTCTGTTCCAAAAATGTTCGGCGCATGTCTTCAATTTTAGATTTTCGTACAGCAGTACACAGTCACATCCTAATTCATCCCTTTTTTTGACCATTTTTTAATGCACGGAGTTGTTTCTCCTTACCTCTACACTCCATAATTTACAATTATGTTTTCAGCGAAGATGTCAAAAGTTGACATATGATATGTCATTCTATTCAGAGTGACATTTTCTATCGAATAAAGTAAAAAAATACTGAATACTAAAAAGTTGTAGTCATTTCCGGTGTAACCGGAAGTGATCGAATATGTCAATCATTCCTAATTTATGTCATATACTAACATACCAAATTTCGTTGTTTTATCTGAAAAAATAAAAAAGTTATAGGGGGTGAGCCACTTTTTCAGACGCACCCGGTATAAATGTAAAGTTATAAGTACTTTATAAATTAGATACAAAGTTACCAAACTATCTCACCTCCATCTTTAACAGGCAAAAATTAGGAATTACAAACATGTGCCCACGAATTTCTAACGGTTCCCGAATTTTTAGCGGTTTCAGGATGACAATTTAGGCAAAGAAAATGTTATAAAACAAAGCGGAAGAATTGGCAGAATTGGGTTTTAAATTATTTGAAGTAATACTAAGCCAAATTTTTAAGTTATAAGCAAACAACTATTTAGAGAGAATATGATGAAGCACTGCATAATCTGAAAGGATGCAATGTTGAAAAATGACTTTTTTAAGCCTATAACAGGCTAAAAAAAGTAATTTTATTAGTATTAGTAATTTTATAGTTTTAAATCCCAAAAAACCGTTTCTGCATGAAAATAACTTTTTTATAACATTATTATCAGATGTTTTTTCTATATAATAAACTAATAAATATTGCATTGTGTCTCGTTCTCGATCCAGAATTTTTTTTCTATCGGTCTCGGTCTCGGTCGATACTAAAAATCCAGGTTCGGTTATAATATGGACCTTAGTTATAATATGAAGGAAAGAAAGCAGACAAATCAAGCAAAAAGAGGAAAGCTAGGCAAGTCATTGTTGAGTTCGTACGTTTTGTATATTAGAGATGTTTTCACGTTAATATTTTATCTATCAAAAAATACCTTACCTAGTTCTAACAAATCTCTATTACTATTTCTAGGCCTACCGCCAATTTCCGCTTTGAACATTAAATCGTGCTTTTCTCAGTTTGGAGAGGAATTAACTTACATGCTTTTCCCCCTTACCTTTCATATGTAATTTTTTTGCATTTTTTCTATTTAATATACTGATCAGTTCTTTTAATATCTAAAGTTTTTGGTGCAAAATTTAAACATGCTGTTGTTAGATATTTGTAACATTTATTTGCTTCTATTTCTATTTGCTTGAGATATGAACATATTTCCGATACACAAATAGATCTAATATCTAAAGTCTCAGAGACATATACCGGGTGCTTCTCAAAAGTGGCTCACTTCTATAACTTTTTTATTTCTTCAGATAAAAAAAACGAGATTTGGTGTGTTAGTATATGATGTAAATTAGGATTGATTGACTTATTCAAATTGTTTTCAGTAGCTTCCTGTTTCACCGGAAATGATTACAACTTTAGATTTTTAAATGGCACGCTCAGTATTTTTTTACTTTATTCGATAGAAAGTGATATTCTGAATAGAATGCCATATCATATGTCAACTTTTGACATTCTCGATTAAAAAAAAATCGTATTTTAAATTTTAATCTTAAGTGCCATATGGCTGTGTTAAAAACGCCAATTTTTAATCAAGGAGCCGTGGAAAAATAGATTTGATCGTATAATGTTTTTCGTGTCTTGTCCTGGCCAGTTAAAAGATGCCTAAATCGTATTTTTAATCGTATCTCAATTTTTTCAAATAAAACGAGGGTGGTTCATTAGCACATTTGGAAAAAACATTTTTTTATTAATAATTTGGTACCACACACTTGTTATTTCGAGTCAAAATGTCGTTATGAACCACGAACCGCATGTTACAATTTTAAATAAACCATATGCGTAAATGTCGAAAGTTGACATGTCATTCTGTCATTTTCTGTAGAATGAAGTAAAAAAATACCGAGGGTACCATTTAAAAATTAAAAGTTGTAGTTATTTCCCGTGCAACAGGAAGTTATAGAAAACAATTGAATACGTCAATCAATCCTAATTTATGTCATATGCCAACATACCAAATCTCGTTTTTATCTGAAAAAAATAAAAAAGTTATAGGGGTGAGTTGCTTTTGAGACGCACCCGGTATAGTAAAGCTTTGTTGGGTAACTTTATTTTATTTATATTTAAAAATAAATAATTAATAAATAAAATATTTTTTAATGTAGGACTGTAGCATTAATAAATTAACAATATATTGATAAATATATTGATATATATTTTCTTTTCTTTTTAGAGTATTTCTGGATGTGGAATGCTATTATTTGAAGTAATTAAAGGAGTAAATGATCAGTTTCATAGTTGTGCAGAACAATATTTATCATTTTTATTAGAATCTTTATTGAATCAAAGATATTCACAAGATGTTCTCTTTAAAATTATTGAACATATGTTTATGAATATTGCAATGAAGATCCATCCTACTAAAATTGATTTAGTATGGGATATTCTTTTAAAATTATTATCTAATCTGGAAGAGCAGCATAAAGGTGACAGTTGTGTTGACAGTGAACTTATAGTTATTCTAAAATTACTTGGCCAAATGGTTGAATATAGAGGAGGCAAATTATTACTGAAATCTACAAATGTCATGCATCGATTATCTGCCTTATTTGATTTATCAAATATAAATGAATCTGTGTTGCTAATTTTAATCCAAATCTCTGTATCAATTTTATTGTCACCAAATATCAGGTTACCTCAAGAAGAAGCATCTTTAATAATCCGAAAAATTTTGTGTTTGGATAACAAACAGTTACTGCTGTATTTTGTTGACAATATAAGCAGTTCTTCCTCATTTGAAATGCTGATCCTTCCAATTTTTTTAAGAAAATGTGGGGTTTATCAGTTTGATAAAGAGTATTGTCAAATATTGACAAAATTGTTGCTTAGAAAAGCTCCATTAAGTTTTAATGGAATACATTTCTCTGAATGGAGGAAATATATAATAGATTTTAAAGAATTTAATGAGCTAGTATTTTCCAAACTGAAGTCTTCTATTGATCTCCAATGGGAAAAAGATTATACAAGCTATGTTTCAGCATTAATATGCTTTCAACATCTTGTTGTTCCTATAAATAAAAGATCTATGGTAATGGAAATTCTTGGCAAACATTTAGAAGTACTGCTGAAAAGTTTAGAAACGGTTGACTGTGAGAATGACACATTTCAATTAATATTCTTGTTGAATGTGTTAGTTGAAACAATAGCTCATATGGAATTCAAGGTTTTGATTAGAAAACATTTTTACATGATACTTAGTGTGTTATTAAGATTCTCGACAGATATAAAATATCTAATTTCATTAAAAACATTGAGCTTACTGGTTACAATTTTCAATGATGATGAAGAAATTATTACTATGGATGTACTAAATCAAATTGATGCTAAATGTGTTGTTAATTTTAGCAGTCCGTATCACGAGGTAAGTTTTTCGTTTAAATATCTAAATATATTTTAAATAGTTATTAGGATGTATTTGTTCATTTGTGTTTAATTTTTTTTAAATACCCTGAATTCATTTTTCAATTTCAGCACTAAGACTTATTTCTGAATCTTTTCTGTTACATTTTAAATATAGTTTTTATTAAATTTCTTAATTTAATTGAAATTTTAAAAAATTATATTTTTTTAGCTGATTCCAAAGAATATTTTAATACCTGATTCTGAGAATGTATAGTATTAATTGCTATTTTATTAGAAATCTCACAGTACTTTGTCTACAAAAACTAAAACGTTACTACGAAACGTTAAGTATTTTTTGTCCATTAGGCAGATTTGTTTATTAGTAAGCCACTGTGGACAATTATGCCGGGACCCCATTAGCCAACACGCCACGCCACGCGACGTCTTGCTGTCCCACGTCATGAAGATCTGTGCGTATGTTTTTCCATTTAATTACATGTATTGCGTACACCCAGGCAACACACCACGCCCTCCGACGCCAAAACACGCTATCACACGTGTGATGGGCGATTCGTCTGTCCCAGATCTCACCGACGCGGACGCGTGTTGTTCCCCGTTTGCCTCTCTAGTCCGGCAGCTATCTACTTTTGTAGTTGATGTAGGGATGTCCCAAAAATAAAATAAATCGATATTTTGAATCGATTCAACATCGGATATGACAAGATAGATCCAGAAAAAATCGACAACAAAAGATTGATCTTATTAAATATCGATATTCGATTCTGAATATATTGGTGTACTGGTATTAGGATTATAATCTAATATCGGTATGGGGATCGATACTTCTAGTATTTTCGTAACCCTAGTGATAACTTTTTTAACTCTAATAAAAATTTCAGGCGTGTTAACACGTGTTACAAAATGTGTACACCCATTCCCACGTCGCAACACTTGGGCTAGTGTGGCGGCGGCTGTTGGCTAATGGGGTCCCGGCTTTAGTGGGATTAACGCCCAGTAAGGTTTACAAAAAATAACTAGGATAGGACTTTTTTGAAGAGATGAATCCGCCACAGAGGTATAGACATTTTTAAAACAAGTTTGCCTAACTGACAAACAATGCTTAACGTTTCGTGAGGTAAATCTCCTGTCGTTAAAAGTAAGAAACACAAACAAAAAAAGTATTTAAAATACAACTATTCAAAAACACTTTAGTATGGATTGCACCAATTTAAAGCTTTACCGAGTGAGATTAAAAGTATTAAAACTGCGTTCAGTGCGTGTACTTTTAACAAAATATTGTCAACATTTTTGCGAACCTAATGAATTTCTTTTTAGTATTGTAATATTTTTAGTTTTAAGTAGCCAAGTCCTAAAATTTGGGATAATAATAAATTCTTTTATTTTAGATGAGACTTTATACTGCGCATATATATAAATCCTTTGAGGCGCTCACATATTTTGACTTGAAACATAGTGACGACCCTGAAGTACCCCAAGAAAAGTGGAAAGTATTTTCTTTAATTTATGAGATAGAGTCCATAGAACCATCAGTGCACACTTATAGGGAACAATTGAATAGGCTTCAGAAATTGAATTTTGATAAACCACAAATGATTATGTGCAGTAAAACTACATTTAAATTAGTTCCTGTAAGATATATGTGTGGCGTGCTTTATATAAATTTTAAACTTTTATGGGAACCAGTTTTAAAAATTATTCAGTCATATGCTCATGGCTTTGTTTCCAATATTTTCTGGAGTGTCTTTGGATTAGAGTTAAAAAGTGCCGTTAATAACATACATAATCCATTAAAAAACAGTATGGTCAGTTTAGAAAGTGACTTAGATGTCTTGCGAGAATTATACCAGCAATGTCAACATTTATCGACTCAACCAGACTTTGCGAATTATCGAAGATTACTGTGGAAAGGCTTGAGCTTATTTAGTAGTGTTGCAGAATCGAAGACGAGGGATTTGTCAGAGTTGTTTTTAAACTTTATCGAGTATGTGATATATATTACTTTTTTTGTGGAAGATTACATTGGTTTTATTCTTTTTTAGGAATGAATATAACAGGAACCAGAATGCACTTGGACCAGTATGTAACATTAAAGAGTTCTCTGATCAAGAAGGCGAAGGTTATACTAATAGCGAGGTAGTTGAATCTGTTAAAGAAAACGACGATGGAGACATACATATAAAGCATTTTGGGAAAACTGGGCGACATAGTGTTTTAACGTAAGTAATTGGTTTTATTAACAGTTTTAACATAAATAATTATTAATTAGCAAAGTATTGACCTGCTTTATTTAAATCGAAAATTACGTATTCTTAATATTTAAGAAATGGGGAATATTTAATTAGACCTGGCGATATAATTTTTGTTATTTTGCATTTTTGAATAAAAATATTAAGGAAGGAGCATAATGCTATCCATGCAAGGTAGAAGGACAAAGGGCGCTAGGTTAGGGATCCTTGTAGGTAGAATATAGCTAGGTAATCGGTACCAAACCAATTAGTTATGAAATTCACTTAAAATTAAATAATTTTATATTTTTTCTTGAATTTTTGCTTTTATTTATAGTTCAGTCATTGGGGATCAAAAATGGGGCCTGCTTGGAAAAAAGTCCGGAAGTTTTGAAACTTTGCAGGTTTATAGGTTTTGGGGTCCCTAACTAAAATCCATAAAATGCACATTTCCAGACTTATAATATATAATATATATATAAATATCTCGAAAACTATGCGTTTTTCGCAAAAATTTGAAGAGAGCAAAATTAAAGAGAATAAAAGTTCCTATAAAAAAGGTTCTATGAAAATTTTCGCTAAAGTCAACCGTTTAGGCACAAAATCCCTGGAAATTTTACAATTTTGCGTAAAGTATGATATACATATATGTAGTCGATTTTCCGAAATCAAATGTCGATTAGGGTTCACTAAAACTAGTTTTAGTTTAGTTTCTTCAATTTTGTCATGAAACAGTGGCGTATCATTAATTCGCTCATTAATTTATGAATAATTAATTGTCGTGCTGGACAGCATTCATTGCGAACTTACCACCAGGTTCAGCATTGGTCTGGTTGTACCAAATATGCTGAAGAATGGAGTTGGAAGAAAACAAAAACAGGCGCAATACTCCAGTCACAACGTTGAAAGATCTAGCTCCAAAATCCCTATTGGCATTTTTATCCTGTAAATGCAAAACCAACAACTGTGGTAAAGCCTGCAGATGCAGAAAAGCGAAAATAAATCAACAAATTATTGAGTCTACCCTACATCATATTTGTATACGTTTTGAATAAAATTAGAACGGCACTGATAAACCGGTATTTAAGTCGGCCATTTTAGGTTGCGGTCGATCTAATATTTTTCATATGCTCCTTCCTTAATCTTTTTATTTAAAGTTCTGCATAGTGAATCGCAAATAAAATACACAATAATGCTTGTTATAATCTTACTAGTTGAAGCCTAGCGCATCCGCCACGACATCGACATCAGGAAAAAAAATACTTTTTATTTTTTTTAATTAAAGGAAAAACAAAAAATCCGGCGACGACAGTTTTTAGAAGAGTCAATTAGGTATCTTTTGGTAAAAAACTTTCTAGAGCAAGTCGTTACTTCAGTAGGGACGACACTGATACACATAATTTTTTTTTACTAATTTGACATTGATAAAAAATCCTTATTATTACTTATTATGCGCGGTATTACCGGCACCAAACCAAAGAAGGTGATATCTTTAGAAAATATTTTGTCATCTACAACAAAAAAATAATACAATAATTCACCGCAATACACCAAAACACTTTACTTTTGCACTGGACGCAGGTTTTGGTAACCATGTTAGCATCATCAGCTAATGATTAAAACTGAGAAATGGGCGCGCAGTGCAAAAGTAAAGTGTTTTGGTGTATTGGGGTGAATTAGTGTTTTATTTTGCTGTTGTAACCCAAAGGTTCCCCTAAAAAGATTAAATAAAAAAGAATCTAAGTTAAAAAACAAAATAAGGACAAATATTTTTGTGCTTTTCCTCTCTAAAAAAATATAAATAAAAAAATGAGAGTTGGAGTTACAGCATTTCCATTGAAATTAAATTAATTGAGCCTATGAGAACCATAATGGTCCAAGTCGCATAAAACAGATTTCAAGATATAGGAGCTTAAAGTTCATGCTTTATTGAAAAATCCAGAGGAATGTCAAATATATTTTTTTCTTGTACAAAGCTTGCAAACATATCAACTTAAATATTGAATGAAAAAAACGGATTTTTTTTTGAATTGTAGTACTTGTTTTTTAGGTTTTTGAGACTTGGACCACTATGGCTTGTATGGCACTATGGCTTAAGTGAAAAAAAGGGGAATAAAAAACACATATTGTATAATATTGTTTATTTTTTATGAAAACAAACTAAACTATGTTTTTAAACATAATTTTCCTCTTCTGAGCGCTCTTCCAAAGGACCCAGGTCTTCCATAATATCTGGATTTACCAAAAGCTTTTTAAAATACTCTTGTTGAAAAGGGGGAATAAACTGAAAAAGTTCCTCCATGTCTTTCTTCTTTTTAGCACTTATTTGCAGTGATTCTGTGTACAATGAAGAAAGGTCGATGTTTTTCAAATATCTAGGAGCAACTTTTCGATTTGGAAGAATGCTAATTTCTTCAAAAGGGTAGTTGTCATTAAGAGTCTCTTTAAAAAAGATTTTGTATGGTTGATCTTTGTGAAAACGAAGCCACCGAATTTATTTTAACCAGGATACTGTAGAGTTCGTATTTTCGGTTTTCTTCCTTCGTATTACTGGCTCTTCTATAGGTTTTATTGATAAAAAAATCTTTCATCTTCATTTCGTATACTATAAACGGGTTTTTGGATCGACACTTTTTCATTATCAAATACCAGTCTTCCGGGACATTCTATTTTTGGCGTATTGTTCAATTTGTCCAAAGTCACGGTCATTTGGGAGAAAAGAATGTCTCGAAACCATAAACTTAAGATCTATCATCTCAAGATCTGTATCCGCCATTAATTTTAACCAAAAGAGGCAATGATTAAAATTTCGATTTTGCCCGCCACAAGCATCTGTGTAGGCAATTCGTCAACACTGTCTGGGTCATATTCACTCTCACTGGCAGGAAATGGCTCAGTTTCAGATTCTTCGGAACTTATTTTAAGTAGTTTTTAACTTTGAAACTAAACACTGTTCCACTCGAGATACCAAGATACTAACACCTACTTAAAGGCACAATGGTTTAAGTCACACATGTACCACTCTGGCTAGTAACGCCAGGAATAGTTCGTTAAAGGGTAAAACAACTAGTGACATTTATTATTAAAATATCAAAGATATGCACACCAAACTCTTGTCAGAAGGTAGATATCTGTATTGTGTAAGGATTTCATACATTTCATACTTCTCGAAATAGTGTTTTGTGACTTAAACCACTATGGCTTCCAAAGGCTCAATTCTAGTTATATGATAAAAATTTGTACAAAGGTAAAAATTGACTGATATTCCTTGTTAGTTATTCTTTATATGTTTTTACTAATATTTCAGTATTATTTAATTTATTTTTTTTAATATTAAATAATATAGTATACCTAGCTATTTCTAATTCTTGTCATGTTTATATTCATATATCTGTTTGTATTTTATTTGCGTGATCTATTCTAATAACACATAGGGGGTCTAATTTTGTACTTAAATATTATATTTTATTTTGTTTGTGTAGTTTTTTTGTGGTAGTTTATTATTAATTTATTATAATTTTGATCTTGTTTGATTAATATTTGATGAAATATCGATATTTGTTAATAAGGCTACTATTACACTATCAAGTTTCTTTGTCAAAGATCTTTTTATAAAAGTTATTTGATGAAAAATTTGATAGTGTTAATATACAATATTTTATAAAATCACACATATTACACTATCAAATTCTTTATAAAATATATTTTAAATAAAATCTTTGACAAAGAAATTTGATAGTCTACTACCGGCCTAAAAGAAAACCGTGAAAAAATTATCTAATTATTTTATTTAAAAAAACGCTTTTGATTGAAAAATATAATAATATACAGGGTGTTCCATTTTAAAAAATATAGTTAATATTCTTTTTATTGATGTGGGACACATTGTGCCTGTAAACATAATTTTAAAATGTACCTCCAATAGGTCAAACATATTTTAGACATAGAGTATTTATTATAGATAAAATTAGTTTTTAGAATTTAATATAGAGTGTTGCATTAAAATGACCAAATTAATATCTAGTTTCGTCATAATCGGATATATTGCAATTTTATTTATATTTTGGGCGCACTTGCTGTTAGAATTCTAAAAATATATTATTTTATATATCAATTGAAGTAGTTCCTGGTGGGACATTATACCGGGTGCGTCTCAAATGTGGCTCACCTCTATAACTTTTTTATTTTTTCAGTTAAAAAAACGAGATTTGGTATGTTAGTATATGACATAAATTAGGATTGATTCACGTATTCAATTGTTTTCAGTCACTTCCTGTTTCACCGGAAATGACTACAACTTTTGATTTTTAAATGACAATCTCGGTATTTTTTTTACTTTATTCGATAGAAAATAACACTCTGAATAGAATGACATATCATATGTCAACTTTTGGCATTTTCGCATATGCTTTATTTGAAATTATAATTTGTAATTTGAAAATTTAATGTTAATATTTGAAATTATAATTGCGGATTGTTGTAAACGAAAATTTTACTCGAAATAACAAGTGTGTAGTATCAATTTATTCGTAAAAGAAGCTTTTACCAAATATGCCAATGATCACTTCCATTTGAAAAAATTGAGATATGATTAAAAATATGATTGAACGGGCATTTTTTAACCGGCCGGGACAAGACACTAAACGATCAAATTTATTTTTCCAAAGCTTCTTGATTAAGAATTAGTGTTTTTAGCTATGGCACTCTAGATTGAAATTTAAAATACGATTTTTTATTAAGCGAGAATGTCATTTCCTCTTGAATAAATTAAAAAAATACCAAGTGTGCCATTTAAAAATCAAAAATTGTAGTCATTTCCGGTGAAACAGGAGGGGACCGAAAACAATTAAATACGTCAATCAATCTTAATTTACATCATATGAAACATACTAAATCTCGTTTTTTTATCTGAAAAAATAAAAAAGTTATAGGTACTTTTTTATTTTTTGAGGCTCACCCCAACTTTTGGGATGCACCCGGTATATTTTTCAATTTAGTTGTAAGTATTGTTTGTAAATTAATGTTAATTGACTTAATTATTGTCTCTTTCAGACTTTTGCTGGAGAAGTTATCTGTGTTTTCAAAATTTAAAAGTCCAAAATCAGCCTATCGGGAGCCAGAACTTTACCAACTGTATTTTGATTTATTGAAACATAAAAATTCGACAATTCAGAAGGCAGCTCTCGATTGTATAATGACATATAAATTTAAATATCTACTTCCCTACAAGGAACACCTCTATAACTTGGTTGATGACAAGAATTTGAAACATGCTTTAGTTAATTTTCGAGTAGATAAAGAAACTACAGAGATTCAGAAAGAACACAGAGAAAATTTAATTCCCGTTATATTACAAATAGTGTTCAGCAAGATGAGCGCAAAAACTGGTCTTAGGACAGGCGGCAAAGCTTCCAGTCAGAATCGCAGAATTATAATTCTAAAGTATTTAGCTGGATGTGAGGAACATGAAATGTTGGCTTTCTTGAAAAAGGCATTTTTTATTTACTCTTCATATATTGATGAGGATGAAGTAAAGTTGGTAGAAAATGTATGCAATGGCGTGGATTTGGAGAAATGTCTGGCGCCCAAAAAATTACTTAGTACTATAAATTTACTAAATATTATTTTGGAGCAATTTGGAGGTCTAATGGGTGATCAAGTACTTACTTATTTGCTCAAGATTCTTCTTGTTATTGGAGCGCTTGTTAATGGCATTACAATCAATATTCAAACTGCACATTCTGGATATCTGTCTACATTGAAGACTGTTAGAATAGCAGCTATAACTTTTTTGGGATCTTTTTTCAATAAGTTTGAGCACTATGCATGGACCGACAATCAAATTACTGCTATTTTTACATGCTTTGTTTGGCCATACCTTGATAAACTAAATATAGATGGTATCCATAGCCCTACAGCTTTATTGAAACTATTTAAACAATGGGGCTCTAACCCAAAATATTTTATGCTACTTGTTAAACATAAGGTTGATGATCCGAATCAATATATTCTTTCGCACATAATTGAATTACTGAATAATAACAAAAGTCACATGAGTGTCGTAATGACTATTTATGATATTATTGAAAATATGTTGAAATATGAAGAAGAAGAAGATGAAGTCAGATTGAAAGTTTCCAATATTAAATCTATAGAAAAAAGTTTTTTTAGCAAGATAGGAACAAATATTAAATTGAATTACGGGAGCTCGATACTTTTACCTCATATACCTGATATTTTGAAAAAAATTAAATGTAAATTGGAATCCAAAAGCAAGAATCTCAATGAATGTGAGCTATTTATATTGTCTAGAATATCGGAGTTGGTATGGGAAAGTGAAATTAGCGATCAAGTATTAACTATCATTTTACCTATTGCACTGAAGAAATCATCAGCCGATGAGCACATTATTCTTAAGCTATTGGACACAATATTAAATCTTATTAGAAACGTTCATAATCCGGAGATTCATTTACCCAATTTGATTCCTTTATTTAGTGAAGTCTCTTATGCTTCATCTAGGAAAGTATTGATAAAAATTCTTGAGCAGATTTCTGAAAAATGTCCAGATTTTACCAACACTGCTAGTCTAGTGAGTGAGCTAAATGCATTTGATGTAAATTGGATTGACCAACCAGATTTTCAAAGGAGACAGAATGCTTTTAAGCTGATTGAGAATCAAATGGACGAGGATAAGATAGATATGCATTTGGGAACTTTGTTGATTCATAATTGTTTTAACTTAATGAGAAATGAAAATGATTTGGCTTTAAAAGACACTTCTTGTCACGTTTTGAAATGTGTTTGCCCATATCTTATTAGAAAATATGAATCAAACTATAAAAGTTTGGATAATATTTTAACAAATTGTTTATTTATGTTAATTAAGAAAGGAATGAGATCAAACAACAATAATTTGAGAAACGAATGCATCTCATTACTAGGACACGTTGCTCGAGAATGTCCAACAAGTCATTTTATTTTGCGAGACCTAAGCCGATTTTGTAATAAAGATGATCTTGAGGTTGATATTTTTGAGAATCTAACTCATTTGCAGATTCACAGACACGCTAGGGCTATGCTTAAATTGTCACAAATTATTCAAGAACAAAAGATATATCCCAACCCGAAGACCCTTGGTCAATTTGTTTTACCTCTGGCTTGGTATTATCTTTGCTCTGATAAGTTTGTTGGAAAGAATAGTATTATCGATGCGTCTATCGAGATGATAGGAACAGTTTGTAAAATTTTGCCTTGGCACCAATATGAAGGAATTTTAAAATATAGTTTATCAGTATTAAGAAACAAGGCTCAATATCAAAAACAACTTGTCCGCCTAGTTGTGGTAATTTTAGATTCATTTCATTTTGATTTGACTAAAGGTTATGTGGATCTTAATACTGAAGCTGAGACACCTACACCCATTGCTGATGAGAATAACGAGAACGATTTACCCCTCTTAGATGAACAAGAAACTGATAATACTGAAGAAGATACATATATAGACGATGACGTGAAAATATTTGGAAAAAATACTGTTTTGTGCAAATCCACTGCGACAAGGGTTTTAAAGACTATCCAGGTAAATGTAGTTTTTGTGTAGTCTTTATTTATATGTTTAATATTGATTAATATACGCAGAGCTAACGGTTTAGATTGGTCGTCCTAAATCAGTAGTCTGTGTTTCATGAGCAATACAAGAACGTGGGATTTGAATTACGTTATAACAAGTTGATAAACGGAATCACAAATAAATGTAGGTCTTTCAGTAGGTTACTACATGCGCTAGGCGCACTCGGAGATAAAAATTGGATGAAGTGGATAAACCAATAATAATTAATTAATTGTTAATGTATTAGTGGTTTAGTCCTTTCTAGAATACTATTCAAAACGCCTTTATCGATTCTAAGTTATTAATAAAATTTGGTAATACCGCATAAATAAAATATGTAACTGCGTATCGCAGTTTTTGCCTCTGCTTAGCATGTTTGACACATTAAAATATAGACCACTGATTTAGCATGAACAGGTTTGTATAATATAGTTTTAATGTTCTAATATAAATCTAAACTACTGAACTTAAAGACCAAGTAAAATGCTGTTAACAGCTCGAACTGGGTTAAGTACATTTCCCATAAGAAAACATTTCTTTAATTTTAAGCATTGTATGACATAGATGTCACTGTAAATGTTTTGTGTACCAGGCAACTGCTCCATAAGTAATCATGGGTCTTACTATCATGGTATACATCCAGCGCAAAATGTTAGGGGAGCAGCCCCATCTATTTCCGGCCAGTCTTCTGCATATCATGAGAGCCTTTATGGCTTTGCTGGTAGTGTTCTTAATATGCCTGTTCTACAGGAGTCGCGGTTTGTCTGAGTTGATACTCAGCCCGACAGTCCTACACCATCTCTCAGTGATACGGAGTCCTCTTTGGATAATATCAGACAAGGTGCCTTCATGTTTCCCCCGAGCGATCATGACTGATTTGGTATGTTAGTATGTGACATAAATTAGGACTGACTGACGTATTCAATTCGGTCACTTCCTGTTTCACCGGAAATGATTACAATTTTTGATTTTTAAATGGCACCCTTGGTATATTTTTACTTTATTCGATAGAATATGACATTCAAATATCATTTTGTTTGACACTCATTTGTCATATGTGTCATTTTGTGTAAAAAAATTGTATTTTAAATTTCAATCCAGAGTGCCATGGCTGTATTAAAAAACACTAATTTTTAATAAAGGGGCCTTGGAAAAATAGATTTGATCGTTTAACGTTTTTCGTGTCTTATCCTGGCCGGTTAAAAGATGCCCAAATGGTATTTTTAATAATTTCTTAATTTTTTCAAATAGAACAGGGGTGGCTCATTAGCATATTTGGAAAAAGCATTTTTTACAAACAATTTGTTACCGTACACTTGGTATTGTGAGTCAAATTGTCGTTAAGAACCGCATATTACAATTTCAAATAAACCATATGTGAAAATGTCAAAAGTTGACATATGATATGGCATTATATTCAGAGCGTCATTTTTTATGGAATAAAGTTAAAAAATACCGAGGGTGCTATTTAAAAATTAAAAGTTGTAGTAATTTCCGGTGAAACAGGAAGTGACCAAAAACAATTTAATTCGTCAATCAATCCTAATTTATGTCATATACTAAAATACCAAATTTCGTTTGTTTTATCTGAAAAAAAATGAAAAAAGTTTTAGGGGTGAGCCACTTTTAAGACGCACCCGGTATACATTACTTAATTTAAAAGGAAATGTGGATGGTATCTAATATTAAAATTATTTTTCTAAAAATGTATAAATATTAATATAAATCCTAAATAATCTTTATACTGAAATAATTTTACATTTTCCTACTTTTATGTATATGTATACCGCATGATTGAAAATGGTGTTAAATGGCTTGAAACTGATCGAGAACATACTTCATAAAATTTTACATATGTGATAAACTCTGACGGTTTTTTTCATTCTACGGGAAATTACAACGTTCGTTCAACTAACATTAATATTATGAAACGGTTTAGCTATAAATTTTATTACTGACGGGGTTTATGTTGAATAACTTATTATTTGTTTAATAACGTATATACATACTTTTGTGGCGGGCTCATCTTTTGAAAACATTTTTGGTCTTTTGCTATTATATGTAAGAGTTCTAAGTTTTTTTTTCATTTCATTTTAAAAATATAATAAACTTTCTCTAACCCACCCTCTAGCGAGGGGAAGAAGACTTAAACCTAATAATCTTTTCGGTGTAGCTTTTTGGCGTGACTTTTGTCTTTGGACCTGATGATGGTATAAACCTGAAACACGTTGCCCCATTACATAACAAAAATTATTTTTTGAAATAAATAATTTGAAAAGATTGTGAGGTTTGAGTCTCCTTCCCCCCGCTAGAGGTTTTTCATTTTTTTTTAAATATCTTCAGAGATATAGCGTGATTAAATGTATTTATGCACTAAAGTTGTCTTTTTAAATGGAATACTCTATTTTTTATATGCCTAAGGGGTTTATAATAAAATTCGCCTTTCAGAAATACTACAATGTCATAATCACAATATGGCTAGAGGTATGGCATCTTAGATCTCGATGGTTTGTCATTTATATTGAGTAGTGAAAAATGTGTTTTCATTAGTAGAGTAGTAGAATTCAAAAGAAGCAGAGTAGTAGAATTCAAAAATCAAAAATTATAAGGGATATATTTGAAATATATAAAAATTGCAATATAAATTAAAACACCCTGTATAAAATGACAGCTATCTTTATTTCTAAGCCGCCTCAGAAGCCATACTTTTCGATTGTATGGTATTTATCTGTTTATATTTATTTATTTTTGTTGTTTAGACTATTCTGTTGCCCCAACTTCATCGCTCATTAGCAGAACTGACTCAGTATGACCATTCTCATAAAGTAAATAGAAAGAAAACAAGTATTGAAAAAGAAGAAGAGGACTTGGCAAGAGTGCCTATTTCATTGGCTGTGGTAAAGTTACTTCAAAGGCTGCCAAAAGAAATATTGGAATTAAACTTACCTAGGTACTTATATAAATTATTATACTATATTTTTATATCTCCAATTGTTAGCATAACAAGGCATATACCATAGGTGTAATTTCTAAACCATTCTAAATTGGTGGTCTGTAATTTTAATTATAAAGCTTCATTCAGAACCTCGCAATTACTGGTGTCAATTACACTTTATACTTTTAATCATTCACAATGTCTAAAAAACACAATTAAAATTAATAGAACATCCTAGCAACAGCTTCCAGTAGTCAGTTGTATCCACAGAGAAAACCTAATATTTAGCTTATAAAACAATACATTTTTGATGTCTAACCAAATTTTGGTCTTGACGAATGATAATCAAAGGCTAAAATGACATCCGTCGCAAATTTTGAAGTATAAAGGTTGATTCTCACTATACCTTCCATATCAGCTCCCTTCCGTTTTCCTTCCGTTTACATAAAATATATATTATATCATGTAAATGAATAAGACAATGCACACTATCTGTTCCGTTTTCCTTCCGTTCCATATCCTTTCCTTCCACATATTTTTTTGGCGGACGGACTGAGGCGTATCGGAAACAGCGTTGTCAAGTTTTTACATTTGTACCAGCTCTGTGAAAATTTTGCTGATATTTATTTATTCTTTCACCTCTTAATTAAATCTATTACCTTTTTCAAAAGATACAAATTTTTAAAATAAAACTTTCCTAATGATATAAATTGTACAATAAAAAGTATGGAACTGATACCGAACGGAAGCTTATGTATAGCGCCAATACAATAAAAAAATACAGAACGGATATGGAATGAAAGGTATAGTGAGAATCAACCTTAATTAGTGGAAAAACTAAAAGTTTGTTAGATTTTTCCACTAATTCTTTTCACTAATTTTGACGTTCTGAATGTTTAAATTCAAATTACAGGAACAAACTTCTGCGCTAACTGAAACCACTAATTTATTCCACTAATTGGGAGGTTCTGAATGAAGCTTAAAAGTATTTGACTTACATTATAACCAGTTGATAGACGAAGATGCCGCCATAGTTACTTTTTGTTCATTTATTAATCATTTGCTCAAGTTTGCCCAACAAGGCATACGTTACAGTGACAGTTGTCTATCATTTTAATTCAGTGATAAATTTGTTTTCTGTCATTTTCTGGATGTCGTCAATCATTCCTGATACGTTGAACAACCTTTGTCAAACCGCTGTGCGTTTGACATATTAATATAAAATAATTGCACACTACCTACAACAATTCAGTGACTTACTGCTAAAACAATTCATTGTATTGTTGTATGCAATTATTTTATATTAATTAAAGTCGAACAAACAGCGGTTTGACAATGGTCTGATGACGGCTGAATAGCCGCAACCGGTCACACAAAAATTTTTTGATAATGGTCTGACATTGATTTTGTTTATCACATTAATAATCTGTCTCATAATTTTATCATGAGCCACTCCTTTGTGAAAATGAACAGGCTCTATAACTTGATAAATATATATTTTTGATATACAGGGTGTCCCAGCAATAAGTGCAAGTATTTTAACTGGTAGTATAGTTCAACCCCAGAAACACGCTTTTGAGTTTTTTTTTGGGGAAAAAAAATGAAAATTCGAAATTTTTTTTAGTTTTTATTTAAAAACAATAATTTCTTAATAATATGGCAACATTGGTAGTAGATTAAATTTACAAGAAAGAAAATCCAGAAATGATCCAGTGGTTCTCAAAATTTTACCAAAAAATATATTTTTTTGGAAACTTTCAAAGTAAAATAACTCCTTTATTTTGGACTTATTTGAGAAACGACAAAGAGAAAATATGTTTCTTTTATCGAGATATACCACCCCTTAAAATACTTGCACTTATTTCTGCGACAACCTGTATAATAGTGAATAAAAATTGATATACCGGGTGCGTCTCAAAAGTGGCTCACCCCACATTACTTTTTTATTTTTTCAGATAAGAAAACGAAATTTGGTATTTTAGTATATGACATAAATTAGGATTGATTGACGTATTCAATTGTTTTTAGTCACTTCCTGTTTTACCGGAAATGACTACAACTTTTGATTTTTAAATGACACCCCCTGTATTTTTTTACTTTATTTGACAGAAAATGACACTCTGAATAGAGTGAACTTTTGACATCAATCATATGTCAACTTTTGACATTTTCGCATATGCGTTATTTGAAATTGTAACATGCGGTTCATAACGACAATTTGACTCGAAATACCAAGTATGTGGTACCAAATTATTCGGAAAAAAATGCTTTTTCCAAATATGCTAACGAGCCACCCTCGTTTCATTTGAAAAATTGAGATATTATTAAAAATACGATTTGGGCATCTTTTAACCGGCCAGAACAATACACGAAAAACATTAGATGATCAAATCTATTTTTCCAAGCTTCCTTATTTAAAAAATGGTGTTTTTAACGCAGCCGTGGCACTCTAGATTGAAATTTAAAATACGATTTGTTTTTAAGCTGAAATGTCAAAAGTTGACATATGATATGTCATTCTATTCAGAATGTTATTTTCTATTGAATGAAGTAAAAATGTACCAAGGGTGCCATTTAAAAATCAAAAGTTGTAGTTATTTCCGGTGAAACAGGAAGTGATCAAAAACAAATGAATACATCAATTAATCCTAATTTATGTCATATACTAACATAACAAATCTCGTTTTGTTATCTGAAAAAATAAAAAAGTTATTGGGGTGAGTCACTTTTGAGACGCACCCGGTATAATAAGCATGCATATAATTTGTTTTGATCTTGTAATTTTTGTCTTATTACGCTTTGATAATTTTGAGGTATAAATAAATATGTAAATATTTCTTTCAGGGTGTTTTTAAAATTATGTACTTTCTTAAAATCTCGTTTGGAATCAGTGAGGAAAATAGCCAGGGAGACGCTTCAAAAAATAATGGGTACTTTAGGTACAAAATACTTAAGAATGTTGATAGCAGAGATGGCACCTCTTTTCAACAGAGGCTTTCAAGTGCATGTTTTAGTATTTACAGTTCATGGTGTATTAAGATCTTTGAAAGATGCTTACGAACCACATGATATCGACGAAGTCCTTTTAACAGTAGTTAATGTAAGTATTTCTATTCTGCCGTGTAAATGAAAAACGTCTTAACTACAACTGAGAGATAAGTGTGTAAAACAGATTAAGGGTGTTTCCAACTAAATCAGAACCAAAAACATCTTACCTTGTTGTATTGAGTGAATTTAATAAAATTTATTTTCACTTCAAGTGCAAATTTGATGGATATGTTAAGCTGCGTATAAATATGTCGAGACGAGTGCGAGAGACACCCGAGACGAGTCAACCTCAAGCGGATTTGAGGTTGACTCGTCATATTGGGACGGGGTCTGAGCTTCGAGCCGAGCCTATGCCCAGCCGGACGGCGTTGTCTCCGGTTTTTCCGGAGCCTTTGGCGAACCATCAAAAAGATTGGGGCGTCTATTTAACCAGTGGCGTATACACCGCGGCTCCGCGGAACAATTGCCTCGAGTCTCAAGGGGCTCGGATTCCACATCCCATTTTTATATAAAAATAAATATTCTTTCCTTTATTTGTAATAATGTTAATAATGCATCCTAACTAGAGAGATGCAATTTTGTCTTCTCTAAAATAGTATAGGTAAGTTAGCCAAAGTAGGTAAATCTCATATACAAAGATTTATTAGTGATTTCTTTTATAAAAACATGAACATTTTATGAAAAATGAATAAACGTAATGAACTTTTCGTCGAGTTATTAACGGCTCAAACGTAAATTATGCGCTATTTCTGCTGAACGGAATTAAAGATGTAAAACAAGCTTCTTTACATATAGGATACATAGAAGATAAGAGATGCAAATCGAGTGTGTTGAAAAAGGTGGCCATGCTCTCAGAATTCCTTACGGTACTCTCATAAATAAAGGGAATCGACAAAGAAAGGAACGATTCGATATAGAAAAATCCAGAAATTTGAACTATCCAGACTACTAAGAAACTTAATTTATGACAAATATGAAAATAATAAAGTTCCCGCCATAGAAATAATTAAAAAAAAACTCTCCGAGCTTTAAAAAAACCCTGTTCAGAAAGCACATTACGGCGAAGGTTTAAAAAACTGGGAATTAGATTTAAAATTATATACATAATAATATTTTTAAAATTATTAATAAGCGTGCTGCAATGATGGAAAGCAAATAGAATAATAATGTGGCGAATTGAATACCTTGAAAAAATATACAACTTTAGAAATGAAGAAATGCAGATATATTATTTACAATATATGTTCCAGGTTAGTTATTGGCATTTAAATGTAGATTTAAATTAATAATTTAAATCTTAATTACTTAAATTTCTAATTTTTTAAATAAATAAAGTCGAATTAGGTCTTATCTTACAGGGCTTTCAAATGGAACGGAGCGTCCGCGACGGACCGTCCGCGACTTCGAGCAAGTACCATGAGCTTATATGAACAATTTCACCTGGATCGCGTATGCTCCGTCCGGATGAGCTATCTTGAAAAAACATCTGTGCGGACGCTCTGCGCGTACGGTCCGCTCCATCTGAAAGCGCTGTTACTCTATTTAAAATTTTTATAGATGTACATACCACATACAAAATATATTATTGAATAAAATAATTAAAGACTCAAAAAAACGGCACTGGCAGAAGGCTCCGCCGCCGCCGCTGGCGTGCCGTTATCTCCATGTATCTCAGTCGGTGTTCTCCAGTTTTTTTTAATGTAAACAGGGTCCCAATATAATTTAAATTTATCATGAATTCCTTTAATTTATCTAGCTTGTTTTTTTACCTATTTTGAAATTAAATAAACATATACAGGGTATTTCAAAAAACATGTTCCATCTCTCTTGGGGAAGTTCCTCACGTAAAAAAAAGATTTATGTTTTATATCAACCAATCCAATTCTGCTTTGATTCGTAGCTACAGGGGGTTAAAATAGGGTTCCCAACCGTCCTCTATTCCAGAAACAGTCCTCTTTTTGATCTGATTGTCCTCTTTTCTCTCACGTATTGAAAACTTTTTTACATACCAACTTCAAAATCTAAAAAATATTCGTTTATCGCCACAATGCTTTAAAGAATTGTTAATCTGTGTCTTTTATGTAATTTTATGTTTACTTACTGTTAGTTTATGTCTTGAAAAAAAGTTTGTTGACAATGGTTTGCTTTATTTTAATAAGTTTTGAGTATAAATATTTTTGTGTATTTTAAATATTTATCGCATACCGTTTATATAACTTTTTGGTAAATTCTCGACATTTGAGCGACGTTTCAAAAATGTTTCGCCTGTGCCTTTTTTTATCCTCTCGCCCCTATTTTTTATTTTCAAAGTTGCCAACCCTAGGTTAAGTGTTTTATCATTTTCTTCCAAGTGCTTTTAGTAATTTGAGATCGTTTGATGACTGATTTAGTTCTGATCCGGGTAGTTTTTTGTATAAAACAGTGCCACCATCGTCGATTTTTTTCGTTAAATGCGAATAAGAAAATATCCTGATTATATTCTGGCCCTATCCCTTATTATTTTTATTTACAAGCGATCTTAAGTTTATAACATATACATATATTTTATTTAATTGTTAACATTAGGGTAGTTTTACCAATTGTGTATGTGTGGAATTCCACTGATATGTGTTTTAAGTTGTTTGTTAAATTTTTAAAATTTTTTGATTGTATTTTGCTCTCTTAACTTTGTAGTGTCCTGAAGATGCAAATAAATTTTGCGAAACGTCGACAAATTTAAAACAAAGGACTTCTGTTGATTTTTTTCGATCCTAATCCAATTAAAAAACACATTATACTTAAATTTATTAATTAATTTTTTAAAATATTGAATGGTATCGAATAATACTTTAATATATTTATCAATATTTTAAAGTATCGATACTTTATATTCAATACAACCGATACCAAAATATCGATACTGCCTCAGTATCGCACAGCCCTATGAAGAATTTTGTGGGTTCGCCAAAGGCTCCACTGAAAATGGATAGCCGCGAGACAACGCCGTTCGACTGGGCAGGGACTCTGCTCGAGGCTAAATCGCTCGGCTCGAGGCTATAATATGACGAATTCCGCTTGAGGTTGACTCGTCTCGTCCTCGTCTCGGCATATTAGTACGCCTTTTGGAAAGAATTTGCTATAGCCTCGTTTCATACTCGTTGCGGGTTTGTCTCGTACTTGCCTCGACATATTTATACGCGGCTTTATAGTTTGATGTCCGGTTAATGTCGACATTAACATGTTAATGTTTGGGTTAGGTTATGTTTAGGTTGTGTTATTCTCGAGATTAACCGGGTAATGTCGACATTAACCGGACATCGGACCTTAACCGTAACAGATAGTACCACATATTTACAAATATTACCAATAAAGATGACATCAGATAAGGGGTTTTTCGTTAACAGGATGGTATTACACTATATGTATAAACTACTCAAAACAATTATCGCATATTTTTAAATAAATAATATTATCAAAGTAAAACCTCTGAAGGCGGGTAAGGGGACAAATAACTCACAATCTTTAAGATGTTTATTTAAATTTTAATGCTTCAAAAAAAGCAGGGTGCGACATGTTTCGGGACTTAAACAATTCCCATCATCAGGCCCAGAAAGACAAACGTCAAGCTAGGAAGTAACACCATTCGGAAGAAATAAAATTAGTTAGAGCTGTTAACATTCACACATCTCTCTCATTGTAATTATAAATTGTATAGCTTTTCAAGAGGGAAGCCTTTCGTTGTAATACCAAATAAATGTCTATATCATAATTTTCATTCACATTTATTTGCCTACCGCCTTCAGAGGTTTTACTTTGATAATATGTACTCACACTGGGTTAGAGAACATTTAGTTTTTAAATAATATTAATTTAAGAAACACAACTTGGAATTCTCTGAATTACGTTTTTAAGTAGTTTGGGTACTGTAAAGGGAAATATTCGAAACAATAATCCTACGCACTGTCATGCAATTTTTAGTTGGCCAACTATTTACTTTTGATTTTTAAATGGCACCCTCGGTATTTTTTTACTTTATTCGATAGAAAATGACACTCGAATGACGAAATGAATCGAATGGCATATCATATGTTAACTTTTGACATATTCGGTCAAAAACAAATTGTATTTTAGATTTCAATTTAGAGTGTGTGGGTGTGTTAAAAACACTAATTTTTAATCAAGGAGCCTTGGAAAAATAGATTTGATTGTCTAATACTTCCAGTGTCTTGTCCTGGCTGGCTACAAGATGCCCAAATCGTATTTTTAATCATATCTCAATTTTTTCTAATAGAACGACGGTGGCTTATTAGCATATTTGGAAAAGGCATTTTTTATGAATATAATTTGATACCACACACTTAGCATTTCGAGTCAATTTGTCGTTATGAACAGCATGTTACAATTTCAAATAAACCATATGTGCAAATGTCAAAAATTGACATATGATATGCCATTTTATTCAGAGTGTCATTTTCTATCGAATAAAGTAAAAAATACTGAGGGTGCCATTTAAAAATCAAAAGTTGTAGTCATTTCGGAAGTGACCTAAAGCAACTGAATATGTCAATCAATCCTAATTTAAGTCATATACTAACATACCAAATTTCGATGTTTAATCTGAAAAAATTTTTGAGACGCCACCCGGTATATTGGTTGCACATCTGCAAAAAAATTGCCTGTCAACGCGTAGCCTAAGGCTACGCAATACAATCAAATAGTTGGCCGATCGGCTCCATAAGAATGTGTTGTTTTTACTTTTGCAGCTAAATAGTCGACCGACTGAAAATTGCATATCAGCGCGTAACCCAATTATCTCAAAAAAACTCGCAAGAGAAAGTTAGAAAAATCCACGGTTCATTTAGAAATATGTAATAATTACTTTTTGTCAAATATGCGATAATTGTTTTTAGTAGTGTACATATTAAGTATTTCACTACAAACAATTCAAAATTTGTTCAATAAATTTAATTGAAATATAACAATAAATGTGTACTGCATGTCAAATTCAATTCTATTAACCATATTTTATTATTCAATATACAGGGTGGTCCGAATTGTTTTCCGGAAACTTCGGCAGTATATTCTACAGATAAAAATAAGTAAAAAAGTTCATATAAATGGATGTCCTAAAATGCTTTGCTTCGGAGATACAGGGTGTAGAAGTATCATTTTTATTTCAAATTTTTTCTGAATAATTTCTGAGCTAACGCCGATATTTAGATGAAAATTGGTGTCTGGGTGTATTTTGACATGAGAAATTCGATTTCGATGTCAATATGACTCCTATCTATAGGGGGCGCCACCTACATATTTTTTAGCTGTTTTGAAGTAGTAACTTTTCGTCCGTACCTGTATGAAACTACCGAGTAAGAAATATGCATTTCCGTCATGGCATAGGTATGGTAGGCTATTCAGATCGGCAAAAAAAAGTTTGTTTAATTTCACTCAAAATGAGTTATTTGGGTCATAAATGACCTAAATACAAAATATTTTCATGGTGTCTGTCTGACTGTCCGTCTGTCCGTCTGTAACACGATAACTGAAAAACCGCTAAACCGATTTTAACCAGATTTGGCACAAAAGTACTGTGGCACCCGAGAATCTGACCATTAGTTTTCGGTGGGGGTGGGGGGTTTTAAAAATTTTTAAAAATCGTAACTCCAAAATTACAGTAGCTAGCGAAACGCGGTTTTCAATTTAAGATTAGGAATAATATTTGCAACAAAATTTGTAATAACATCAAAATCAGTCAAAGACGCAGTTTTTAGATATTCCGTGTTTTCGTAGAAAATCCGTGTGGAGAACTCTAAACTCCCATCGGACGCGACCCCAGGTGGCGGATAGGGGAAATAACCGCGGACCAAAATTGGAAAAATTCCTTTACTTTGAAACTAAAAGAACTGCCTACCAACTTTTTATTAACATATTTTAGTATGGTCGGCTATACGTGACTCCCGGCGACAATTTTTTCTAGCTTTCCTTTCTTTTAACGTAAAAAAGGTCTCTTGGTAAAAATCGCTGCGAATAATGGTTCTCAAGATATTTGAAACCTAAATAGTCATACATGTCATAATTACAAAAATTATACATGTCGACTGGATAGTTATTAGTCTGAAATAGACCTGTTTGCTGTTGAGATTTGAACACCGGTGTTAGGTGTTGTTCACCACCGGTGTTTCAGTCGGTGTACCGGTGTTAACATCGACACTGGTGTTTATCTTGACACCGGTGTTTATCTCAACACCGGTGTTTATCTCGACACCTGTGTTTATCTCAACACCGATGTTTATCTCAACACCGGTATCGCGATGAACACAGGTGTCGAGATCATCACCGGTGTCGATGTTAATGGTGCCATTTGTTTTTTTTTTATTTTTTTTTAATGTAGAATTTTTTAGTTTGCTACGAATTTTTGTTTATGTTTTGTTTTGTTTTCTGTTGGTTTTTGATTAATTTTTTACTTTATAGTTGTTTATCTGACGCTTCCACTTTATTTTAGTGATTAGTCTGGCAAAAAAAATATATTTAAATTTGAAATCTTTAAGTTAAAGACGGTGCGCTGTAATAAACGATAAAAATAAGCACCGATATGACATAATTATTATCATGCTTATTTTGAACTTATTAATTAACATTATTTCTTCTTTAACCCGTTTATCAAACACCGGTGTCGATATCAAAACCGGTGTCGTAGTCAAAACCGGTATCGTGATGAATATCGGTGTCCAGACCAACACCGGTGTCGAGATGAACACCGGTATTGTAGATAAACACCGGTGTCGGCGTCAACACCAATTAGATCTACCGGATAGCCCATATTTGACCACCGGTGTCAGCCCAACACCGGTGTTCCGGTGTTTGGAACAGGCCTTGTCTGAAATAATAAATTTAAAATGTTTTTGTGCAAAAATTCAACAGAAACTGTTTTATGGTATTTTTTCCAGAAAAATTCATGATTAGCTTAAAAAAATTAAAAATTACCAAATTTTTCAGTCAAATAACCATCTAGTCAACATCTTTATTTTTTGTTAATAATGCCGTGTAGTGACTATTTCCATTCCAAATATCTGAAAACGGTTGCTCGTAGCAATTTTTATCAAGAGACATTTTTTACGTAAAAAATTACGGATATACATATTTTTTTCACTCAGTGGTTTTATACAGGAACGCACAAAAAGTTCTGACATCTCAAATCAATATTGTATCAAATCATGTAGGTGGCGCCCCCTAGAAGTAGGAGTCATATTGACATCGAAATCAAATTTCTCATGCCCAAAAACACCCAGACATCAATTTTCATCTAAATATCGATGTTAGTCCAGAAATTATATGGAAAAACCCGAAATAAAAATGAAACTTCTACACCCTGTATCTTCGGACCACCCTGTATATTAGGTTTGACCCCTTATTATATTTTTATTGTAAAACTGATAGTAATATTTCTCTTTTAGCTGTGTACTGCTGATTTATTTGGCGTTCTTTCAGAAGAAAAGGAAATAGTAAAAATTACTGTTAAAGTGGCAGAGGCAAAGGCATCTAAAAGTTATGATACTTTGCAAATTCTTGCTCAATACATGACAGAAAAATGTCTTATGGATTTGGTTTTACCATTGAAACAGATCATTGAAGTTAATCATTCCCATAAAATAATTCATAAAGTACAAGAAGCATTAAGGTATATTGTACTGGGTTTAATCGAGAATAAGTTTATATCTAACGAGTCTTTATTGAAATTTGCTTATGGATTATCAGCCCAAAAAATTTTGGAGTTATTACCTACAAAGACACCATCAAAGGGGGATAGTAAAACTAAACAAGTAATAGAAAAGGAGGACTGTTTTATAATACCAAAAATACCCGGAAATAGAACCATGTATAGGGAATTAAACGTAAAGATGTCTTCAAATACAAACAGCTACATATTGGTAGAGTTTGGTTTAAGATTATGTTTAATGCTGTTAAAGAAAGAAAGACTCAGGGATAATATGTACAAACCCTATATTGATCCTTTTATTGTGATTTTTAGAAATTGTTTAAAATCAAAACACGTTAAGGTAAAATCAATATATCAAATAGTGTTTGTAATTTTGTTAATACATAGGTACATTCTCTTTTTTAGTTATGCACACTGACTCTTCAGTGTCTTCAATGGGTGATGAAAGATGAACTACCCCAAATGAGTCAACACATTAAATCTATAGCAAGCGATATGTTTTCAATTTTACATAAATATGCAGCTTCAGGTTTAAGCAAGGGAGATAATTTTGACTTGGTTGTGTCTGCTTTTAAGGTATGTAATTATTGTTTTTTTTTTATGTGGTACAGGCTGTCCCATTTTCGTGTTATAATGTGAAGCAGCTTTGATGTAACTGATTTCAATTATTTTAAAGTCGCAAAAAAGAAAATAATGGAAAATTGCCTATCCTTCAAATATTTTCCTAGATATTTTCATTTTTATGATTTAGTGTCAGTAGATCTTTATTATTTGATCAAATCTAGGTGGCTGTGATATGTCTGACGTTACTTCAACGTAGCTGTCTAATTAGTCCAACTTTAACAACTAGTTATCATTTTATGTCAGTTAAAATAAAAAAATCTCAGAAATTTGCGGAAAATGGAAACTTATCCTACATCAGAGAGAATTGATACGATTCGATTAGTTAGAATTCTACACTTTAGAACAATTAAATGCTCCTGATTTTGTCTAGTCTGGGCATTTTTATGGGGATATGTTAAAGACAGTGTTTACAAAACTCGACCAACTATTGTCGACAATATGAGAGAAATGATTGTATCTGTTTTTCGAAGTAGAACTCCACATATGCCTTTTAAAATGAAAAGAGAATCATTTTATGCAGTGAACAGGAAAGGCAACATTTTGAGCTTTGATTTTACATAGCTAATTTTTGTCACATAATTTATACGTTCATATTAGTTTAATTCTGTAATAATTAAAATATGTTTTAAACGCGTATCCTTTTATTACTGTTGAGTATTTTACTCTATATCCTTTAATTTTTAACAGCCACCCCCTAGATTTTTTCAAATAATAAAGATCTACTGACTTGAAATCATAAAAATTAAAATAACTAGGAAAATGTTTGTCTTAGGGGTAAGCAACCTTAATAATATTTTGAAGATATATGAATTTCCCATTATCGGAATATTATACTGTGCGTTTCATTTAAAATAAAGGAGTAACTTGCTTTTAAAAGTGACCAATGTTTTATATTAATTTTGTCTTACGCTTCTTTAATAAAAATTAGGCATACATTTTAGGCTTCCGCTTCTTTAATAAAACTTGCCTTTATTTTTTTCCTAGAATCCAAAAATCAATTAATATATAGGGTGTGTCATTCCAAAAAACACAACTTTGATGTATAACTTTTTTTGGGGACACCCTGTATAGCTCTATATATTTTTAAAAAATTTTGTTTTTAATTATAATTCTAATTAACCTACATATGCTCCCAAAATTTCATTTCGATATAAACTACCGTTCTCCTTGGAGCTTCCGCGTCGTATGAGAGGCGCCACCATGTATCAATATAAACTTTGGATGATACTCTTCAAAGTAACAGCGCTTTCCGATGGAGCGGACCGTCCGCGCGTACCGTCCGCGAGTTCCACAAGTTTAACAGTGTTTTCAAATGGAGCGGAGCGTCCGTGACGGACCGTCCGCGACTTCGAGCAAGTACCATGAGTTTATATGAACCATAGACTTAAAATAAAATATAGACTACACTATTTACATCTCAACGCGGAGAAACAACCTTTTTTGTACACATGTTTACTTCTGGGTACAGTCGACCGAGCCTTCCTCATCCAGCCTATGTTGTCACGTCTTTAATATTATCAATATTTTTTTTCTTGTTATACACATATATTGAGATATTAATACTACAGTTTAATAAAGTAGGTTTTAATATTCCATAGATGTATTAAATAGTCCTTATACTACTAAATTATAAGTCGGATACTGTTTAAAAAGGATAAGTTCTTTACAATATGATAACACCGATTAGAGGCGAGGGAGCCTATTCATTCATTTATTACCTTGTAGTACGCGTGGCAAGTGTGCGGTAAAGCTTTGATGCCGCTATGTCCCCGGCTGTATTAACGCATTTTCTTAGTTTGTAGTCCTTAAGTGTTTATTTTATTGACTTTTTCTGTTCAAGAACTATAAAATATGGTTCGCCAGTGCCAAATTTGCAAGAAATTTGACTTAAATAATCCATTTAAGTCTTGAAACGACTTTCGACCGGTAGGCAACTCTCAATTTACCCATTGGGAGTCAGTGGCGTTGTTGTAGAAAGGCGCTTATTTAGATAATATTTTAGTAAAATGTAAAATCTGAATTTTTTCTCTTATATTACATTATTTACTTACTTACATTGTAACAAAATCATAATTATAACCCTGTTAATAATTAATAATGTTTTTATTAAAAATATATTCCGGTTTATTCTAAAATTATCTTCAGAATCTAAAATAACATACAAGAATTTTAATATGATATTACATTATGAGACAATATTTTTTAATATACCGGGTCGTCTCAAAAGTGGTTCACCGCTATAACTTTTTTATTTTTTCAGATAAAAAAACAGATTTGTATGTTAGTAGGTATATGACATAAATTAGGATTTATTGACGTATTCAATTGTTTTTGGTCTCTTTCTGTTTCACCGAAATGATTACATCTTTTGATTTTTAAAGGCACCCTCGGTATATTTCTACTTTATTCGATAGAAAATGATAATAGAATTCTGAATAGAATGACATATCATATGTCAACTTTTGACATTGTCGCTTAAAAACAAATCGTATTATAAATTTCAATCCAGGGTGCCATGGTGTTGTTAAAAACACTAAGTTTTAATCAAGGAGCCTTGGAAAAATAGTTTTGATCGTCTAATGGGTTTCGTGTCTTGTCTAGGCCGATTAAAAGATGTACAAATCATATTTTTAATCATACATATGTCAATTTTTTCAAATGGAACAAGGGTGACTCGTTAGCATATTTGGAAAAAGCATTTTTTTATGAATATATTGATACCACACACTTGGTATTTCGAGTCAAATTGTCGTTATGAACCACGTGTTACAATTACAATTAAACCATATGCGAAAGTGTCAAAAGTTGACATATGATATGTCATTCTATTCAGAGTGTCATTTTCTATCGAATAAAGTAGAAATATACCGAGGGTGCCGTTTAAAAATTAAAAGTTATAGTCATTTCCGATGAAACAGAAAGTGACCAAAAACAATTGAATGCGTCAATCAATCCTAATTTATTTCATATACTAACATACTCAATCTTGTTTTTTTATTTGAAAATATAAAAAAATTATGGGGGATGAGCCACTTTTGAGACGCACCCGGTATAATAAAGACAGTACCGAGTTAAATAAATGTAGTTTTTATTTTATCCACTTCCTATCACCTTCCTTGCTTTAATGGAACAGATTTATGTTTTCTCTAATTTACATAATAAGACATCACTTAACCAGAAAAAAAATTACAACAATCATATTTTTTTTTCTCTCCCTGTCGCCGATTCTATTATATCTGTGGAATAGATCCTGTTTTGATTAATATTAGGGGTAGTAAATGTTTGACTAAAATTAATAATTTATTATTAATTTCAAAAATTACCTAATTTCGATTATAAAATTTCTTCTATAACGTGTATTTTATTATTTTTATCCTTTTTGGACTCTAAATTGTTTTTTCTAAACTTTTATTTAAAAAACCTGTCCTAAATCTCAATAAAATATAAAAAAGTTTAAATACGATATATTTTTAATTTAATTATTATAGCTTCATTAAAATAAAAAAAATACCCGGCTATGATACGGAGAGTTCAGGTGTACTTGAGAAACGAAAGACAGTGTTGTGTTCTCGGCAGAGTCGTCAGGGAACGACCGTTACGACAGAGACAACCTATCTATCGCTCGTGTCGCACTCGTTATAACCTAAAACAATAACACAACAATAACAAGACAGTGTCTGACCGCATGTTCCAGCTATTTATGAATGAGATGCTCAGTCTATATTTTATTTTAAGTCTATGATATGAACGATTTCACATGGGTCGCGTATGCTCCGTCCGGATGTGAGCTATATTGAAAAAACATCCGCGTGGACGCCCCGCGCGTACGGTCCGCTCCATCGGAAAGCGCTGTAAATGAACAATTTCACATGTATCGCGTATGCTCCGTCCGGATGAGATCGTCGACGGCTATCCATCGTCAACGATCGTCGACGATGCGCTCCATCTGAAAACGCTGTATAATAATTCAAAAATAAACTTAATGTTTTTTTGCAGTTTCAGTTTAATTAATACCGGTTTAGCATACTCTGCATCAGGAAAGAACACGATTGCATAATCATATTATTTTGTAGTAAAGACAATCTATTTACCATTTCAAATGTGTTAGACTTTGAATAAGAAGACTAAGGAAGGAGCATAATGCTATCCATGTATTCATGCATGGTGGGCGGTAAAAGGACTCTAGGGTGGGGATGCTTGACAGTTCTGTTTGACGATTCATTTGACACATTTGAATTTGATTTGAAATTTTGTAGATTTGTCAGTCTTTACGGAGCTTATTTTATGTTATTTATTATGTATTCTACTACTGATAGTTGTATAAAGGTAGTAAATCTAGAGGGAAATTGTGGCAGAACTTAAATTAACAGTGAAACTATCGCGATTTATCGAAAAAGACTCTAAAATAGTTGGTTGTGTAGCGTGCGGTAGATCTCGGCAAAAATCGAGTGAAATAATGGAACAACTTTTCGCTAGTAAGTGCCTATATAATATACATACGTGTAGTAAACCGATCATTTATGAAATTCACTTAAATTAACTAATTATATATTTTTTCATGCATTTTTGCTTTATTTACTACTTGTCAAAGATTAGATGTCAAAGAATTTAGATACGCCAATTTGACTTACCTGCTTCAGTAGCGTATCGGATGTTTGTGTTAATAAATAATTAACGTGTGTTAAGTTAGCACAACCACTTTAAAAAAATGTATGAAACTATGTGGAATAATTGCCGTAAATTTGCCGTTAAAACGAAAAATTTGTCGCTCTTCGCTAAGTGTGTTAAATCGATGGTTGTGCTAAGTTAATATTAAGTTAGAACAACCACCATTGGAAATCAGTGAAAGAACATAGTTAGGAATTTTATAGAATAGCAGTAATTTGCCGTTTTTTTGCCGTTCTTAGATACAGTTAAAAAAAATATCCTCCGATCATTCTCTATCCCCTTGCAACAAAAAATGTAATAGCGTCAAGGTCACATATTAAGTTAGCACAACCATTCCAGTAAACGTTAAGTAAAATGTCTGAAATTAGGTGGAACAATTGCCGTAAATTAGCCGTAAATACACCATGCAAACGAAAAATTTGCCGCTCTATTATTTGTTTACAAAATCGATAATTAACGTAAACAATAACGTTAAATTAGCGCGATTTTTCTTAAAATTCACTAAATGGGATCAATAATAACTTTTTAGTACAAAAGGAATATACCGTAAATAAGCCGTGAAATCGAAAAATTTGCCGCTCTATTATTTCTTTATAAAATCTACAGGGTGATTCAGGCTTCCGAAAAACCTCTATATTAGGTTTTTGGTTTGTGAATTTCATTTCATTTTTTTTATATAATATGGGGGCAATGGTAACGCACATTTTGAATTTTTTTTTGTCAGCATACAGGGCGATTCAAACATATTTTCAAACCAAAGCTGTCTATTTTTGAATGGGATACTATATATTTTTTTAGCTCAGTGGATTTGCCACTAAATTTCTGTTTCAATTCTTTTTTAATTAACGTAATCGATAACGTTAAATTAGCGCGATTTTTCTTAAAATTCACTAAATGGTATCAATAATGACTTTATAGTACAACAGGAATATGCCCTAAACAAGCCGTGAAATCAAAAAATTTGCCGCTCTTTTATTTCGATTATGACACCAAATAGAGGGTGTTCCATTTAAAATAGTAGATGAAAATACAACATTTAGTTTTCACTCACCTTGTATATATCAAACAAGATTGCAAATTCTGGTAGACCGAATTTTGAAGAAAATACTATTATTCAGTACTTCCTGTTAATTTTTTTTTAAATTCTTCGAATTTAGAATTTTCAGAGAACTTTAAATAAGCAATAAATTTAATTTAAAAACGGTTATATTTCAAAAACCATTAGGTATAGTATATGAAATTGGGGTATTTTGAAACAGAAATTTAGTGGCAAATCCACTGAGCTAAAAAATATATAGTATCCCATTTAAAAATATACAACTTTGGTTCGAAAATATGTTTGAATCACCCTGTATGCTGACAAAAATATTTTCAAAATGTGCGTTACCATTGCCCCCATATTATATAAAAAAATGAAATGAAATTCACAAACCAAAAACCTAACATAGAGCTCTTTTGGAAGCCTGAATCACCCTGTAGATTTTATGAAGAAATAATAGAGCGGCAAATTTTTCGATTTCACGGCTTATTTACGGTATATTTCTTTTGTACTAAAAAGTTATTATTGATCCCATTTAGTGAATTTTAAGAAAAATCGCGCTAATTTAACGTTATTGTTTACGTTAATTATCGATTTTGTAAACAAATAATAGAGCGGCAAATTTTTCGTTTGCATGGTGTATTTACGGCTAATTTACGGCAATTGTTCCACCTAATTTCAGACATTTTACTTAACGTTTACTGGAATGGTTGTGCTAACTTAATATGTGACCTTGACGCTATTGCATTTTTGTTGCAGGGGGATAGAAATGATCGGAGGATATTTTTTAATTGTATCTAAGAACGGCAAAAAACGGCAAATTCCTGCTATACTATAAAATTCCTAACTATGTTCTTTCACTGATTTCCAATGGTGGTTGTGCTAACTTAATATTAACTTAGCACAACCATCGATTTAACATACTTAGCGAAGAGCGGCAAATTTTTCGTTTTCACGGCAAATTTACGGCTAATTTATGGCAATTATTCCACATAGTTTCATACATTTTTTTTAAAGTGGTTCTGCTAACTTAACACACGTAAATAATTATTAAAACTTATCTATTTTTATTATAATATGTTTTTATAACAATTTTAATAACAACCAACATTTATTCACAACGTAAACTAAAACAACAAATTATTGAGCCTACCCCAACTGTACCCTACATCATAGTTTTACATTTTTTAAATAAAATTAGAACGGCACTGATAAACCGGAATTTAAGTCGACCATATTTGAGTCCCATCGCGGTGGACCTAAGATTTTTGATAGGCTCCTTTCTTAGTTTTCTTATTCAAAGGTGTTAGAAAGAGTCATTCTCTAATAACATGACCTAACTTCACTATGTCATCGGTCGTAACCTCGTGACCTTATCACCGACGTACGTACATTTATATTTCGTATAATTTATGATATTATGCAATCGTCTTCTTTCCTGATTCAGAGTTTATTTAGGAATATTATGTTTAAGGAAATTGGCTAATTGAGATTTAGTAATTTCTATTACAATTTTGTTTTAGGCAATGGCAGTATTAGTAAGAGACGTAAAATACTATGTAATAGACACAAATCAATTAAAAACTCTTTTACTTTATGTTGAACAAGATATGCACAACTATGAAAGACAGGCCACTGCGTTCAGCCTACTGAAGGCAATTATTACAAGGAAACTAATAGTACCAGAAATGCATTCTGTTATGTCCAAGGTAGCAGAACTTAGCATAACATCCGAAATTAATTATGTCAGGACACAAGCTAGGTAAGGCTTGTATTTTTTAGAGAGTACAAAGTAGTTTTTTAATATTTGTGGTCTTACAGATTAGTTTTCCATCAGTTTATAATGGAGTACCCCTTAGGTAACAGTATTGATAAACATTTAGGATTTTATATCGCTCAACTGAGTTTTGAATTGCAAGACGGACGTGTATCAGCTATAGAAATGATTCATACATTAATAAACACTTTTCCGTTGGTAGGTAACGATCCTGTTTATTTCCAATTTTGACTAAATAAAGAATTCTTGTAGAGTGTATTAAAAAGTCATGCCAGTACATTACTAATTACTCTTGGAGCTAGATTGGTAAACGACGATGTTCCAGAATGCCGAAGAATGATAGCAAGTTGCATTTCATCAATGTTAACTAGATTACCTAAAAGTGACAGAAATCCATTGTTTGAAATGCTTTGTTTATGGCTTAAAGATAAAGAGGTGAGTTATTATTCTCTCATTAACTAAAATATGTACAAGGCGATTAAAATGCTTTATGACCATATGAACTTTGTCCGGTGATTATCTATGCCAGATAAACGGTGTCTTTATTGTGACATTTAGTATGGTTCTTTACTAAACAATTAAAAAAATGGTCAAGTGCGAGTCGGACTCGTGCACGAAGGGTTCCGTACCATTCATTATCTATACAACATTAGACACTATATTATTATAAACGTTTTTTCCGATTTAGCTGAAATTTTGAAGGCACGTATAAGTAATTTAAAAAAAATTAAGGAACACATTACTAGAAATTGTATTAATCAATAATAAATATGTAAAAAGTAAAAATATGTAAAAAAAAACGATTAAAAAAAAGTCGACTTGACTAGGATTCGAACCTGCCTACGGCTCCAACGTCATAGCAGCGTAAAGTCCTAACGCTTTAACCACGCGGCCACCGAGGACTTGAAAGATTCTATGTAAAATTCTTACTTAAAAGATAATGTTTAGTAAAAGTACTTTTTTATTTATAAACATTTATTTAATTCTGTTTTTAGTATTTGTTCTTATAGCGGCAACATAGATACATTATCTGTGAAAATTTCAACTGCCTAGCTATAACGGTTCATAAGATAGGCTTTTGTGACGGACGGACGGATGGACAGCGAAGTCTTAGTAATAGGGTTCCCGTTTTTACCCTTTGGGTACGGAACCCTAAAAATGAATATTTCGAAATTTTATTTTGAAATAAATAGCAACATGCCTTCTTTTTGAGATACAGTATTTGTACTGATCACTAACTTTTGACGTTTAAGTTATACGTCTTTACAGACACTTTTTAGCTTTAAAAAATTTTTAGTATTTTTTTCTCAAAAACGGTCAATTTTATATAGGGTGTCCCAGGCTGAGCGTGCATTAGAAGTTTCTAGAGAACTACAATATCTAGATCGGAGGTTTTTTGCACATTACTGTTTCACAATGAGATCTATCGATTAAGAATATTAGAATATTATAGTCACTTCCGGAAATAGCGGATGTTGACAACAACTTTTTTATTTTAAATGGGTACCTCCATTTTTTATTACATACTTAAATTATCTGTAAAATTTTATGAATTTTGATATCAAAGACTATACAGGGTGGTCCGAACTGTACTTCGGAAACTTCGGCAGCATATTCTGCAGATAAAAATAAGTAAAAATGTTCATATAGATGTATGTCCAAAAATGCTTCCTTTCGGAGATATAGGGTGTAGAAGTTTCATTTTTATTTCGATTTTTTCCAAATAATTTCTGCAGTAATGTCAATATTTGGATTAAATTGGTGTCTAGGAGTTTTTTGACATGAGAAATTTGATTTTGATGTCAATATGACTCCTACTAGTAGAGGGCGCCACCTACATATTTTTTAACTGGTTTGAAGAGTAATAACTTTTTGTCGGTACCTGTATAAAATTACTGAGTAAAAAATATACATTTACGACCCTTTCTACGTAAAAATGATCTTTTGGTAAAAATCGCTACGAGTAATGGTTTTCGAGATATTTGGAATTGAAATTATCAATACCTGTCATCACTGACATAAATTAAACATGTTGACTAAATAGTTATTAGACTGAGCTCATAAATTTGAAATGTTTTTGTACCAAAAGTTCAACAAAAATGTTATATCATCATTTTTTTTGCAGAAAAAATATGATTAATTTAAAAAAACAAAAATTTCCCAAATTTATTATTTCAGTAAAATAACTATCTACTCAACGTGTTTATTTTTCCTCAATAATGACATGTATTGCCTATTTCGATTCTAAATATCTTGAGAACGGTTGCTCGTAGCGATTTTGACAAAGAGATATTTTTTACGTAAAAAATCACAGAGATGTATATGTTAAGCCGAATTTGTGTAATTGCCGATTTCATAAATTTAGCAAATTTTCGCCGAATTCGCGAAATAGGCAGCATCGCTGCGCATTTCATGTAATAGGCAAAATAATGTCCCAATACATGAACTGGGCATATAATCTTTTGCCGATTATTTGAAATAGGCAACCAGCGCACGATAACAAATGAAAATTATAAAAATTGGAGGTTCATGTTTAATTGAAATTTGATTGTATTATTTTGAGTTTTGAGCGACGTAAACTAGATTTTTTACTTTATATTAATGTGTTGCGACATTAAAACATGACTGAAACCGGTATAAATAGTAAGATGTGGAGTGAGGAATACGAAAAAAAAAGTAATCCGAATTTTGCAAGGTTGTGAAAGTGTCACTAAAAGCAGAGAGTACTACCATATTAAAAGTTCGTTCAAGCTAGAAAAGTTTGCTGGAATAACAAAGATATGTCGAAAAAAAGACAATAAAATAATGACTACCAAAACAAATGCATAGCAAATCATTCGAGATTTGCATACCGCTTGTGGACATAAAGGAGAGAAAAAACCTACAAAAAAGTTGCAGAACATTATGCTAATATACCAATGGTTATAATAAAACAGTTTATTGAACAGTGCGAGAGGTGTACAGAGAAAACAAAAAAAGTATACAGTACAGGAATTGTTGTTAGACCCATAATAAGTAAAGATCTTAATTCCAGAGCACAAATCGACTTAATTGATTACCAAAGTTTGCCTGATGGTCAATACAAATTTATTTTGCACTATAAGGAACATTTAACAAAATATATTTCCTTGGTAGTTTTATACAGGTACGAACAAAAAGTTATTACGCTTCAAAACAGTTAAAACACATGTAGGTGGCGCCCTCTACCAGTAAGAGTCATATTGACATTCAAAATCAAATTTCTCATGTCAAAAAACTCCCAGACACCAATTTTCATCTAAATGTTGACTTTACTTCAGAAATTATTTGGAAAAAATTGAAATAAAAATGAAATTTCTACACCCTGTATCTCTGAATCTAAGCATTTTAGGACATACATTTATACAAACTTTTTTACCTATTTTTATCTGCAGAATATGCTGCCAAAGTTTCCGGAATACAATTCGGACCACCCTGTATATTAACCGTTTTTGAAAAAAAACATATTTAAAATTTTTGGAGACTGCCTGTCGTTTTAATGTGCATTAAGGATCCCCCAGACCAACGCGATACGGCGGGAGCGGGAGCAACGCGAAATATTTCGCGAGGCGGGAATCGCACGATTGCCCAGACCAAAGCGGTACAGCGTCAGCGTGAGCAGTGACGCCAGTATAAGATTGTGGGGGATGTAGAAAACGCATATTTATGCACACCAAAAAAAAAACGATTTTTTTTTCTTTGCGATTAGTTCAAGAAATTATACAAATGTACTCCTCATCTGACGAAGAAGCTTTTCTTTTGCTTGCAGTAGCAATATATGAGAAGCGAATGAGATTTCATATATCATTTTTCTTAGAAAAAAAATATTAAAATTTATCTTGCTTTCAGGAGCAAAAATAATAGGTTCATGATATTAACATTCACTGAAGAACTTATAGATAATTGCATACGCTAATGATGTAGTTGCAAATGGATGCTAAGCGATTTTACATATATTGTAGAATTTATTAATTTAATTGGGTATTTCTTTATCAATTCGATTAAATTTTCTGTAAAACACGCCATATTAATCACCAGTTTCGCTGTAGTACTGTCTCGCGGAATCGAAGCGGCGCGGGAAGAATTGTGCATGCAGCGTCAAGAAAATAATTCGCCGCAGTCCCGCTTTTCGTCGAGCGACAGAACAATATGACATTTCGATTCCACGTCGATATCGTACTTCGATTCCTGACGCATGACGCGCCGCTCCCGCGGCGCTCCGATTCGCGTTGGTCTGGAGCATCCTTTAAGCAAGCCAGAATGTATATACATAGTACTGTAAGGATACCCATAGATTGAAATACTGTTCTACAGCATTCAGATTATTTCAAATTTACCATTACTCTAATACATCGCCTTTGAGCTGCAAATACTTTTGTTGCGTGGGTAGAATGTCCCCAACACAGAACCGCGTAACTCAAGTGCGAATGAACAAGGCCAAAATAGGCGCTCTTGACTACCTGCTGCGCCATAGTGCTTTTTAGGTTTCTTATTGCATATAAGTTTTTATTAATTTTCTTATGGAGTTCTATCACGTGATTAAAAAACTTTTCATTAGTGAAATATAAAAGTGGGGCTTCATTTCAAAAATGATTTATGATAATTTTTTAATCGCTCAATTCCATGACAGCTACGGCCAATATTATATGACATTCGAACAATTTAATTTTTGAAATAGATAGCCACATGTCTTTTCTTTATGCCACAGTGGCTGTGATAATCAGTAAATTTGTCGTTTAGGCTATACAGATTTTTTTGGCAGGCAGTATTTTTCCTCCAAAAATTTTAAATATTTTTTTCTCAGAAACGGTTAATGTTAAGTATAGAGTGTTGGATATTAAAATTCAAAAAATTTTATAGAGAATTTAAGAATGTTACAAAAATGGGGATTTCCATTTAAAATAAGAAAGTTGCTGTCAACTTCCGGTACTTTCGGAACTGTCGCCATATTAAAATTATTTTTAATCGACAGATCTCGTTGTGAAACATTGATGTGCAAAAAATCTCCAATCTAGATATTGTAGTTCTTTAGAAACTTCTAATGTCTGAGAATTTAGACATGTTCCTGTTAACTAGACAGGAATGACAAAAGTCATGATATTTATTATAAATCACAAAATATGTATCGAATATACAGGACAACTACCTAAGTCGATCGCAGTATGGCTTCAGAAGAGGAACAGGAACAAGAGAGGCCATCCTGGGCCTAACCTTAATAGCTGAAAGATACTTGGAGGTAAAGAAGGATCTTTATGTCTGCTTCGTAGACTACAAGAAGGCTTTCGACCGCATACAACATGAAAAACTAATAGACATCCTCCAGGAGTAGATAACCATGACATCAGTAGATAACCATGACATAATTCGTAATATATATTGGAACCATAAGGGATGCGTCCGAACATCAACTGGAAACACCTCTTACGTAGATATCCAAAGAGGGGTACGTCAAGGCTGCCTCCTCTCCCCATTGTTATTTAATGTGTACTCGGAGTACATAATCAAACAATCGTTGGAAGATCGAGCTGAAGGAGCTAAACTAAATGGAATAGTAATTAACAACCTCCGTTACGCAGATGACACCGTAGTGATCGGACAGTCTAAAGAACAGCTACAGACTCTGATGAACATCCTAACCGAGCACAGTACCAGAATGGGTTTGGAGGTAAACGCATCTAAGACCAAAACTATGGTGTTTTCTCGGACCTCTCAAGATCACCCTCAATTGGATATTGTTGTTAATAACACCACTTTACATAATGTACAAAACTACTGTTACCTGGACAGGGAAATAAACAGTCAGCTCGACTACTCTATAGAGATTAAAAGGAGAATAGAAATCGCTCGTGCAGGATTCGTTAAGATACGAAGCGTTCTCTGCAACCCGCGTTTGTCAGGTTGAGAACACTCAAGTGCAACGTTTGGCCTTTGTTGCTATACGGGTACGAAACTTGGACCCTAAAACAGGAGGACCTCAGGAAGGTGGAGGCATTCGAAATGTGGCTTTATAGGCGAATGCTACGTATAAGCTGGACCACTAGAACAACAAATGTTGAAGTACTGACCAGAATGAACACCCGTACCCACTTAGTCAACACAACAAAAATAAGGAAAAGCGCTTACCTCGGGCATATAATGAGACACGAAGAATACTTAGCTTACTATTAGCTTCAGCTAATACTTCAAGGTAAAATCGAGGGAAAGCGCGGCATAGGAAGGAAGAAGAAATCGTGGCTTCGAAATATACGAGATTGGACAAATATTTCAAACGGGAATACTTTAATACATCGAGCCCAACATAGGGAAGATTTTGCCATAGTGGTCGCCAACCTCAACGGAGACGGCATCTAGGAGGAGGAGGAGGATACAGGATGTCTCCGGTTGAACTTGCATTAAAAGTTTTTGCACATCAATTTTTGCATCAAGTCTCTCGATTAAAATATTTGCAATATGGGGGCATTTCCGCAAGTACCGGAAGTCGACAAATTTTCTTTAATTAAATGGATACCCTAATTTTTTCTAACAGATTTAAGTTCTCTGTAAAATTTTTATGAATTTTGGTATAGGAAAATTGGAACAATTACTTTACTATACATACATAAAATATATATACAGGGTTGTCCGAACTGTATTCCGGAAACTTCGGCAGCTTATTCTGCAGATAAAAATAAGTAAAAAAGTTTGTATAAATGTATGTCCTAAAATACTTAGTTTCGGAGATACACGGTGTAGAAGTTTCATTTTTATTTCGATTTTTTCTAAATAATTTCTGAAGTAACGTCAATATTTGGATGAAAATTGGTGTCTGGGAGTTTTGTGACACGAGAAATTTGATTTTGATGTCAAAATGACTCCTGTTTGTAGGAGGCGCCACCTACATGCGTTTTGACTGTTTTGAAGAGTAATAACTTTTCGACGGTACCTGTATAAAACTACTGACTAAAAAAATATACATTTCTATGACTTTTTACGTAAAAAATGTCTCTTGGTAAAAATCGCTATGAGCAACCGTTCTCCAGATATTTAAAATGGAAATAGTCAATACATGTCATTATTGACAAAAAATAAGCACACGCGTTGAGCATAGTTGTTTGACTGAAATAATACATTTTTATTTTTTTAAATTAATCATAAATTTTTCTGCGAAAAAATGATGATTAAACAGTTTCTGTTGACCTTTTGGCACAAAAAGATTTCAAATTTAAGATTTCAGTCTAATAACTATTTGGTCAACATGTTTAATTTGTCAATGATGACAGGTATTGATAATTTCAATTTCAAATATCTCAAGAACCATTACTCGTAGCGATTTTTACCAAGAGACCTTTTTTATGTAAAAAACTTGTAAATGTATATTTTTTTACTCAGTAGTTTCAGACAGATATGGATGAAAAGTTATTACTCTTTAAACCAGTTAAAGCATATGTAGGTGGCGCCCTCTACAAGTAGGAGTCATTTTGACATGAAAATCAAATTTCTCATGTCCAAAAACTCCCAAACACAAATTTTCATCCAAATATTGACGTTACTTCTTAAATTATTTGGAAAAAATCACATTTATACGAACTTTTTTACTTATTTTAATCGGCAGAATATGCTGCCGAAGTTTCCGGACCCTGTATATAAAAAAAATATAAATATTTTTATAAACCTATAAAGCAGAATATGGACCAAGTATTAATATTGAAAAATAATTTTTTCTTGCTGTAGTTTAGATAGAGAAGATATATGCTGAAGTTAATGTTGAAAGTTTGGTACTTCTGTTCTTTGGTCTGGTCTACTAATGGCTAATTATATATTAAGGCAAATAAATATACCGGAATGTGAAATAAAACAAACTAAAATTTATCAATCAACAACTCAGCAATACGAATATAAGAATTTACCTATATATATCTAATACGAATATAAGTATTTTTTTGTTGTTAGAAATAGGTGTTAAAATCTTACTTTTGTTTTTATGAAATCCTCATGATCGATTTTTAATTTTACCTACTTTTAATTTTTTGTATTTTGTAGATGAACCATAGAAGAATGGCAGTACAAATTTGCGGAATTTTTGTCAATGTCGAAAAAGGCGAATTTGAATCTAGACTATCGGTAATGATTCCTTTAATTCTAAAGCAGTTTGGTTTAACTAACCAAGGTGCAGGAAAATTTGTAAAGTTAAAAAAGGAGAAAGTACTCTCTGATGGAGTTCAAAAAAATAGAGATCACCACTACTACCAAGTTCTTCAACTGATACTGAAAATATGTGAGGAATGTCCCTCATTTTTAAAGAATAAAAATGAAATTGAATTATTAGGATTTCACGTTCAGACTTTGTTAGGTTATCCTCACGAGTGGGTTCGATTATCATCCGCACAATTTTTAGGCTACATTTTATCATCAATGGACATTGACCATCTGAGTATGTTACTGTTAAATAATGAGTCAGAACAGGGATACTTATGTGGTGATCCCGAAAATTATATAAAGGCTTTAACTTTAGATTTATGCGATCAGTTACAGCCTGGAAAAGTCAACTCAGATTTAGCTGAACAAGTTATCAAGAACTTGGTGTTTATATCTCGTGTTTTACAAAAAGTACCTGAAACAAGCAACAAAAAAATTAATCTGTTATGGTTAACTAAATTAATGAGGAAAATAATTAATTTGGAAGTTATTAAAGATTCGTCATCTATTATTCTAAGAACAGAAATTTTTAAATGGATTGCTGGTATTGGGGCAATACTTGATGTAGTTAATATCAAATCTATTTTGAATCATTTGTTGGCGCCATTAGTTCGAGAAATGATTACGACAGAAGAAAAAAATGCCCCATTGCGACAACTATCTAAAGAAGTAGCTAGATACCTTAAAAATAAAGTTGGTGTGGAACTATATACTAAAACGCTTCAATCGCTTCAGCAAAATTTAGAAGTAAAAAGAGCAGAGAGAAAACGTGCAAGATCTCAATTGGCTGTAACTGATCCCGAGTCTTATGCTCAGAAACGGATAAAAATGCACGCGAAAAAGAAAATAACCAAGAAGAGGAAACTGGAAGAATTAAGGGGAAAGAAGAATTTTAAAAGGCGGAAAGTTGTTGATTTAGAGGATAATTCAGACGTGTTATAATTTTATTTATTAAATATATAGTTTTTATATTGTTTATTTTATAATAGTTTGTTTTTCTATTTAACCGATTGTGCATAGCCAAATATGCTTTGAAACTGGATATAAACGTAGAATGTCAATATTCTGCCATTTGATATCCATTTTCTTATGGGATCGAGAATATGGAGGGACGGAAAATATGGAATCAACGGATTTACAGCTTTTTGTTTTTGAGTAGTTTTTGAAATTTTCATAGGTTTTGCTTTAAATTGTGCGGCTGCCGACCGCTGAGTATTTTGCTCAGCGGCTGACTGTTTCTGCGTGCCAAAAAAGACCGTTTAGGGCTTTGAATAAGAAGACTAAGGAAGGAGCATAATGCTATCCATGTATTCATGCATGGTGGGCGGAAAAGCCACCATAAAAGCTCTCTAGGGTGGGGATCCTTGACAGTTCTGTTTGACGATTCATTTGACACATTTGAATTTGATTTGAAATTTTGTGGATTTGTCAGTCTTTACGGAGCTTATTTTATGTTATTTATTATTTATTCTACTACTGATAGTTGTATAAAGGTAGTAAATCTAGATGGAAATTGTGGCAGAACTTAAATTAACAGTGACACTATCGCGATTTATCGAAAGACTCTAAAATAGTTGGTTGTGTAGCGTGCGGTAGATCTCGGCAAAATTGAGTGAAATAATGGAACAACTTTTCGCTAGTAAGTGACTATTTAATATACATACGTGTAGTAAACCGATCATTTATGAAATTCACTTAAATTAACTAAATTATATATTTTTCTTGCATTTTAGCTTTTATTTATTACTTGTCAAAGATTAGATGTCAAAGAATTTAGATACGTTAATTTGACTTACCTGCTTCAGTAGCGTATCGGATGTTTGTGGTAATAAATACTTATTATAACTTATCTATTTTTATTAGAATTATATATTTTTATAACAATTTTAATAACTACCAACATTTATTCACAACGTAAAATAAAACAACAAATTATTGAGTCTACCCCACGTCTACCCTACATCATAGTTTTACATTTTTTAAATAAAATTAGAACGACACTGATAAACCGGAATTTAAGTCGGCCATATTTGAGGCCCATCGCGGTGTACCTAATATTTTTGATATGCTCCTTCCTTAGTCTTCTTATTCAAAGGTTTAGGGAAACCGCTTACTCAGCCGCTGACCGTCCCTGAACGCGCCCATTGTGCTGATTTTGTTTCTTTAATTCCGACTTTGAGAATAATCTGGCAACCTTTCAGCACACTTTCAAGCCAAATGAAATTCTAGGAAAAACGGACGGCTTTTTTAAGAGGGCTCGTTATTTTGTTTATTTGTCAGCGGTCGGTCATTGAGATAAAAAATATATTTTGTTTTACTTTTTAATAGTATATTTTCACCGACTAATAAATTGTGGCAGTATTGTGTTGTGCATATTTTACGTTTTTTTGCGACATAATATCCAGTTTTAAAAAGTCTATTGTTCGGGCACAGCTTAACTAATAATCGAAAAAAAATTGTTAATGATCATTCTTTCGGATTTTCAACTTCTTTCTCTTGTGAACCCTCATAATGAAAAATTAACTAATGAAATTTTACTCAAAGCTTACGAATCAGCTGTGCCTTTAAAAACTGTTTGAAAAGAAAAAATGAAATTATACAAAAAAAAATATACAGCAATATTGTTATTATTCTTGTTGGCAAATTCCGCAAATCATTCACTTTATATCTTCCATCACACTAAATTACGATTATACTTTCATCAGAATATAGTCTTCCAACGTACAACAAGCAAAGGTTTTTTACAAGAAAACACGTAAAATGAAAATTAAAAATGCAAATAAAGCAAAATCCCCAAAGCCTTAACCCAAATAAACAACTGTGGTTTTGTCAAATGGAATTTTGAAAGTCGAGAACTGACGTATATTATGAATTTTCAAATGTTTTAATTCTGAATTATTATACTCAAAAAAAAACTATAAATCTTTAAATAAAAAGTACGGAGAAAAAATCTTTATAATTTAAAAAATATAAATAATGTATTTCTGTTCAAAAATGCAGGTTACTACCGTTACTATAGTCTATAAAATGAATAACTTTGAATTTTGACCGTTATTTTTTACCAACATGGCAAATATAAAATACCTCTGTCAATAAAGTTACTGATGTTCTTTAAATTGAGTGACTGAACGAATCAGATAGGTAACTCTGTTTACTTTCGTGAAATAGAAAAGGAAAATTATAAAACAAGTCACAGTTTTGCCTCTTCTTGCAAAAATCAACACGAAATGGCATAATTGTCAAAAGTCAAATGTCATCAGCTTTTGGCATTTCTAAATATCAGACCAATGCCGTCTCTAATAGAACAGCCTCGGAGCGAGATTAATAGATATGTTGTAGGATACATGGAAAACATAATTAATCCTCGTGTTTTTGGTTTGTATTTTAAAAATGATATAGTTTACATAAAATATACATAATATACAGTTAATAAATACAATATATTATATACCTATTTATAGTAATAAATACTTTGGCATATAAACTATGAACCATACAAATGCAGCAAATGTTTTACAATATACAAATAATGAATAGGTACATAAGATAATGGGTAAAATGTAAAATATATTTTAAATTTTGGTTTGAAAATCGATTTAATTTAACAAAAAACATTTAATATCTACTAATTGTGATGTATTATTATTTGCATTCACAAAATTTATATGTATATTTTGCAAGTAGGTATCAATGTTCCAAAATTATATTTGCAAATAATACAATATCATAGAAAAAGGCGTCAGAGATGGCTATGAAATAAAGATCGCTGTCATTTTATATGTAAAATTATTCTAAAATTTTTGATTTTCTTGGGATTTAGGTTCGGGAAAACGTTGATTAAGTTTTCATTTGGTTTTTCATTATTTTTGTTGGTTTAAAATGAAAAAAATCATATGACACAGCACTGATTAAGGCTATAATGTTAGCCGAAACGTTTTTTAAACCAAAAAAAAATAATGAAAACCAAATGAAAACTTAATCAACGTTTTTTATTAACTGTATATATATTTTTTATATTAATTTATTTATATTAACTGTTTATATTAACTGTATATTATGTATATTTCATGTAAACTATATCATTTTTAAAATACAAATCAAAATACGAGGAATAATTATGTTTTCCATGTATTCTACAACATATTAATCTGTAGTATGTAACTAGCGTGATGCTATAAATCTCGTTCCGAGTTCCGAGGCTGTTCTATTAGAGACGGCATTGCGTCAGCATGGCCAAGGCATGGCCGCAAGTTGCTAACCTAATAAAATTAACACTAGAAAAGCCCGCGGGAACTGTCAAATTCAAAGTTATTCGTTTCACAGACTATACTCTGAAAACCGATTATTGCGAGCGATATGCGAGCAAGTGAATTAAGCGGTTATCCTCTATACATATAAAAGGTTTCTGCATAAATTGTAAATCGCCTGTATCCTCGTGAGCAGCGAGGACGGTACGCCACCCCGATGTTAGTTACGTGCCCTTGCGTGCGAGTAATCCTCGAGGATCGACAAAAAAGGTTTCAGCATCAATCGTAAATCGCCTGCATGTACACCACATCGCATGACGGTACACCACACCCGATGTTAGTTGCGTGCCGAGTAATCCTCGAGGATCGACAAAAATACTCGAGACATACCGAGGATATGAATACTCGGGTGACCGAGTATTTTTCACTCGAGTGATCTCATCACTAGAAATTAGTGATCTGATAGAGAACTAGTTAGAGTTGTTGGAGTATTTTAATAATAATTGTAACCCCTTTCCTCTTTATTGTGTCATAATTCAAGATAAGATCGATTTCGAGCAATGAACATGTGTAGTCTTGTAGTCGATCTTATGCGACAGACTTTTGCGATATTCACCTCAAACTTGTTACTTGTTTTGACACTGATGAGACACTATTATAGGTTTCCCAACTTTTAAAACAAAAAATAGAGGACGAGAGGGTAAATAAGCGCCGTAGATGAAACATTTTTTGAAACCTCGACCAAATGTCAAGACTTTACCCGAAGGTTATTAGTCCAGGACACTTATTTTTAATTTAAAACCCTAATGCTGAATTTTTGTGGCTAGTTAGACATTGTAATTTAGATTAACATACTTAAAGTCCCCATTCCTCCGACCTGTCCGACCATGAAAACCACCCCTAAAGGTACAATTACTAAATATACGCTTATATTAAAAAAATTGCAATTGTAATTACCTTCAAAATGGTGTATTTAAATTCATGATTTGAATAAACTAGTGGCGTGCAGTGAAGGCTTAAAACTCTCTAAATTTATTACATTGTTCAAATTTGTGGTTTATACAGGGTGTCCCAGAAAGAAGTGCAAGTATTTTAACTGGTTCAATATAGTTCAACCCCAGAAACACGCCAATGAGTTTTTTTCACGAAAAAAATTTTTGGAAAATTTTAAATTTTTTGAAAAATTTTTTTGGATTTTTTTTTAGTTTTTAGGTAAAAAACATAATTTCTTGATAATATGGCAACATAGGTATTAGATTAAATTTACAAGGAAGAAAATCTAGAAAAGATCCAGTGGTTCTCAAGAATTTTAGCAAAAAATCATTTTTTTTTGGAAATTTTCAAAGTAAAATAACTCCGTTATTTTGGACTTATTTGAAAAACGATAAAGAGAAAATATGTTTATTTTATCGAGATCGAGATAACACCTCTTAAAATACTTGCACTTATTTCTGGGACACCCTGTATATAAAATCAGGGGCCCCGACTTTTATGAAATCCCGTGGTTGCTTATGAAATATGAGTAAATGTAACAAATTTCCAGATTGTCACATTTGTTGTATTTATTACACTTTTTTACATATGTAACATACATAACAAAATTAGGAAAATACCATGTCAATTTGTCATTTTTACAGTAATTAATTCTAGTATAATTTGAGTTATGCAGAAATATTTTTTTAGTGCAATTTGTGAAAACATTAATGCACCAATTTGTGAAAATTGTGAAAATATTAATTCTACCCATTACAATCGTGTAAGGGCAGACAGATACTGTATTCTTTGTAACTGTATTACTAAGTGAACATATGGCCTCCCGAAATACAGTTTCTCTATTAGATTTTGTTCGCTTGTGCAATAAGGAAAAAGCAGAAAAACAACGGTTAGTTAATGCAAGCAAATGGACCCAAGATTGGAAGACGATGAGAAAAGATATTTTACTTTTTAAGTGCAGTAATTAGTTTTTTAAGTATTATCGAATTTTTGAAACAAATAATTTAAAATTACTGCATATTGGTACCGTATGATCGAATAAAAACGGCGTCAGCGATGGCTATGAAATGAAGATCGCTGTCATTTTATATGTAAATTTATATAGGAAATACCATCGATCGTCATTTCCAAGCCAACTGGACGCCGTTTTTATTCGATCATACGGTACCTTCTTGTTGAAACTTGGATCTCACTCGTCTTTTTAAATACTTGTTGCACTGGAAAAAGCTATTTTTTACTAGTGTAAATTTTCCAACGCCTTAATGTTTTATTGTAGTAAAAATAAATTTAAGAACATTATTTGCTATACAGGGTGTTCCATAATGACATGCTAATATTTAAGGACGTGAGTTTTGGACCTATTCTAAGAGAAAAAGTTCATATGAATATATGCCCTAAACATCTTAATCTCTGAGATACAGGGTGGTAAATGTTTCTAAAAAAAACTTTTTTCATAATAACACTGATTTCATTACAGATATCTTTATGAATCCTAGTCCACAAAAAACACAAAGATATGATTGTAGATGTCAAAAACATAAGCCCACGAGTCATATGTTTGGTTTGGTTTGGCCAACAATCAAATTAAATAAAAAATACTCTGTAAAGGTTATTCAGGCATATGCACCAACTACCGAAAGTACAGATGATGAATTGGAGAACTTTTACGAAGATGTATCCACTGCTCTACAAAATGGAAAAACACACTATACAATGTTAATTGGAGATTTTAATGCCAAAGTTGGTAGCAAACAAGATGAAGCGGAAACTTCAGTCAGCTGTCATGGATTGGGAAGCCGAAACGAAAGAGGTGATACACTGATAGATTTCGCACACCACAACAAATTATATATAATGAACACCTTCTTCAAGAAAAGAAACAGCAAAAAGTGGACATGGACCAGTCCAGATAGCAAAACCAAAAACGCAATAGATTTCATAATCAGCAATAGAAAAGATGTAATCAAAGACGTAAGTCTTTGAACAGATTTGCATTAATTATTGATTTAATGCATTAAACATATTTTCGATAGGAAGCGATCACCGCATTGTAAGAGCCGAGATAAAAATAAATATAATGAAGGAAAGAAACATGATACTCAAGAAAAACCACAAGAAATGGGTAGCTCCTGAAAATAAAGATTCTTATAAGGAATGTATAGCCTCAAATCTAAATTATGAAAATACTACTACGATAGACGAAATATACGAAAACATCAAAGGGGTCACTCAAACGGCTATCGAAAAATGTTGTCCCAAAAAAGTAAAAGAACAAAAACTGAATCAAAGAACAGAACTTTTAATGAAACAGAGAAGAGATATGGAGGACAAGAGTACACAAGAATATAGAACTTTAAATAGAGAGATACCCAAAGAAATCAGAAAGCATAGGAGGCAACAGAATACGGAAAAAATTAGGAACGTCATAGAGAAGAATCAAAGTTTGAAGGTATTGAGAAATAGTACAATGGGAAGAAAAGAAATACAAAAGATCAAGGATATGCACGGCAACATAGTAACACACAAACAGGAAATCCTACACTCTATTAAACTTTTCTATCAAGAACTTTACACATCAAAACAGCAGGGGATCAGAACCGACATCCGAAAGGTAATAAATCAGGGGTCGGAAGAAATTCCAGAAATAACCGAGGAAGAAATTATCAGTGCCCTTAGAGATATGAAAAACAATAGAGCTGCCGGCGACGATGGACTGGTAATAGAGTCAATCCAAGAAGGAGGACCAGAAATCATCAAAGCTTTAAATGTCCTATTTAATAAATGCATTGAAGAAGAAATAACCCCATCACAGTGGAACAACGCAACCATCATTATTGTACACAAGAAAGGTGACGTTACAGACCTTAAAAACTATAGGCCCATCAGCCTTCTTAGCCACGTATACAAATTATTTACTAAAATACTCACCAAGCGTTTGACAAATAAAATAGACTTTTTTCTTTCGAGCGAACAAGCAGGTTTCCGATCAGGTTACGGAACAAATGACCATCTTCTAACAGTCAAGGTCCTTATCGAGAAATGCATTGAGTATAATAGACCACTAATGCTTGTCTTCGTGGATTTCGAGAAGGCCTTCGATTCGGTAGACCAGCGGAAGCTTCTAGAGACACTAAGTGAGAGTCGCATCGATCATCGATACTCCTCAATCATAAGACATATATATGATAATGCCACGGCAAACGTCAGAATATCGACAAATCAATGCACAGATAAATTCAATATCGATCGAGGGGTAAGACAAGGCGACACACTGTCCCCTAAACTATTCGTTGCTGTGCTAGAAAGTATGCTAAAAATGATAAACTGGGATTCAACAGGAATTAACATCGATGGCAAATTGATAAATCATCTCTGTTTTGCAGATGACATTATTTTAATAACAGACAACATACAGGAGGCACAGAATATGCTGGATATGCTGAATGATGCTTCGGAAAAAGTCGGTTTGAAAATTAACTTGTCAAAGACACAATACATGACAAACCTAGTACTAAGTGGAAATTTAAACATTAATAACATACCTTTGGAACAAGTGCATATATATAAATACTTAGGGCATGAGATCGGTATTAGAAGGGATAATCAGACCCACGAAATTCTACGAAGAATAGGTTTGTCGTGGGCGGCATTTGGCAAACTAAGGCATATACTGAGATCTGATATTCCCATATGTTTAAGAAGAAAGATCTTTAACCAGTGTGTCTTGCCTGTCCTCACGTATGGAGCTGAAACGCTTACTTTGACAAAAAAGAACATACATAGAATACAGGCCATGCAACGGAAAATGGAAAGGTCCATGTTGGGAGTTATACTCAGAGATAAAATACCCAATCATACAATACGAAATCGAACAGGAGTAAGAGATGCGGTGATATCTGTCTTACACCTTAAATGGAATTGGGCAGGACATGTGGCTAGGATGACAGACGGACGGTGGACAAAGAGACTTGTGGAATGGAGACCGAGACACGAGGCCTATAGAAGCAGAGGACGACCTCCTAGTCGATGGACAGATGACATTAAGAGGGTGGCTGGAAACTGGATTCAAGTGGCACAAAATAGAAGGAAATGGCTAGAGTTAAGGGAGGCTTTTGTTCAGTAGTGGACGGTATAAGCTAAATGATGATGATGATGATGATGATCTTTATGAAATTTGATACACGTCTTCTATGCATCATAATATTTTTTTTGGTGTACAAATAATTTTATTTATTTTAACCAGTATGGACTGGTTTTACATTGACGGGTTTTACATTGAATATTAGTGGTACACCACTGACTTCTCTTAAAATAAAAATTATTTTCAAAATATTCATTTCTAAACATTCTTTTCTCTTGATTTTTTTCGTCCGACGCATAATTTTTGCTGAAGAAAAATTAAAGTCAGTTTATTTCAGAGTCAAATCGCTGAAAATATGATGTTGTGTGGAAATAATTTCTGCATCGGCTGGAAGGAAATTAAGAAATAAAACAATTTTTTTTGTATATCAAAATAAGCATTTTGATGCATGGAAGATGGGTATCAAATATACCATCAGAGATATTTGAAAAAAAATTAGGTATTTTTACCACACTGTATCTGAAAAATTGAGATGTTTATGACATATATTCATATGAAGTTTTTTCTTAGAATAAGTCCAAGGATCACCTCCTTAAATATTAGCATGTCATTAAGGAACACCCTGTATACACCACAAATTTTGGCAACATAATAAATTTAGAGGGCTTTAAATCCTCACTGCATGCTACTGGTTTATTCAAATCATAAACTTAAATACGCCATTTTGTAGGTAAGCAGTAGGTACGCCATTTTATAGGCAGGCTTATAAGCAATAATTTTGATAACTATTTTTTTCATAAACTTAACCGTGTCGGCTAACTATCTACAAAAATTCAGCTTTAAAAGATTTTGTACCAATAGCTATTTGGTATTTAATGACTATAATATAAAAACATTTTAAATATAATCGATGCAACATTATGTGGAGATCACTTGCCATTAGCAGGTATTAAACTCCTATTTGAATAACAAAATTGTGTTCCATATTGATTATTGATTCTAATATCCTATGCATTCAGTTTTTCTGCTTAATTTATATAATTAAATCGTTTGGAATCTTAAAACACATGTTTCAAACGGTTAATTGGAATTTCACTCTAACATTTTAAGAACTGCAAATTATCCATTTGCGTATTAAAATTTTCTTTACGCTTAAAAACCGTTAATTCATTTACTGCTACATTTCTCTCGATATTTGTTTAATCTTTATTTTTTTTATTCTCGATCTGTTTTTATCTTCTCTCTAAGCAACAGAGGATTTCGACAGACGACAATATCCATTAGATTGGAACTTTGATTGGAATGCCCGTCAAAATTTTGGATCGCGAAATTTTTTTGGGTCGCGACCGTTGTACGCTTGTTGTACGCGATCTGGCGCTGCTAAAGCGGTTGCTCTTGTCCATATCTCTTGTCAAAGTCAGAATATTTAAAAATTATAAAATCTTTCAAAATCTAAACCGCTCTCATTGAAAAAATTCATAAAAGTGTTCAAAAAAAAATTTCAAAGTAATTATTGCTATCTTGTGACTTTAATTTCAGTTTTATTTACTCAAACCCATTATAATTGTGAAAAAGTGGCATTAAAAACTTAAAAAGCTGTGTGTGAACTGTGAACTGCAAAAACCATCGTGGATCGTGGCACAAGGTCGGTTTCCAATGTTTCATAGGTATTTCATACACGTCCTTATATAAAATAAAGTTTCTTGTATGCAACACACTGTATTTTATTTATAAAATTAAAAGAAAATAATAATAAATTTGAATAAATATTTGGCGATATAATTCCGGAAAAACCCGAACAGCTCCGAAATTATCAAAAGCTTTCGGTCGCGACCGTTGCAAATATAGCGCCAAATAGTATTTACATTGTCCTTATGGGCACTTTTCAATTCCTAAACTTAGAATGTCCAAATAGAAGATTATTTTCCTTTATCTATGGTCCAAATGTAACACAAAGTTGTATTCCGTTTCTAATACTGGTTATGAGTTTTTATTCCTATTCTGCGAGCTTCCTGATTCTTTTATTACGGAACCGGTGCTTGAAAAATGAATATCACTATTGTCACCAAATTAATCAATGCGAAAAGGCTGAAAAAATAATCTAGCTGAAGTAAAAATTCTATAATAAAATTATTCAAATTTAAATAATACCATTTGACGTTTCTTCTAATTTACCAAACCGTTCCGTATTAACTCGATATTTCTGCATAAAATAGAAAAAGTATAAATATAAAATAAATACTCGAACCGACCTTTACCGTAATTACGGTAATTATTATCAGTTAACCTGAATTTACAATGGGATACAACGAAAATAAAATTGATCTGTGCTTTGATGACAGAAAGAACTGTTACTGTTATGCTTTCTCTCCTTTGGGAGATTTTACACACATCCATTTAAACTTTGTCCAGCGAGAAAAGCGACTATTATCGACAGCTATGGTTTCCTAGATTATGATTTTGCGCAACTCGTATTTTATCTGGTTTGAGGGGTTTTGTAATTGCAGTTTTGTAATACAGTATTGCCGATGGATGGTACTACTGCTATACTTTTACATACATAAACGCTCTATATTATGCGAAGAATTCTTCGAAATAGGTCAAGCTCGCGTTTCTTTGCCCAACTTTGTCGCATTTCGGTTTATTTCCAGTTGTCTTGACCTACTTCGGTTTGCCTCGATTCTTAAAAGCGCCTGAAAACTGCTTTTGAGGAGGGCGCGGCGTGGGGGAATTTTTTTGGCGTTACCTGTTACCTCTTTCAATTTCGTTTCGTTTTGAGCTATTTCCAAAACGTGGCGGTATCTGACACGAGGCAAAGGACTTTTTTTCATAAATCTCAGTGAAATAAGTAAAACCTAACCTAACGATATTTCGTTAATTACATCTTATTTTATGATGATATATATTGGACAAAATTAATATTTGAACACGCGTTTATAATATGTATAGTAGATATTTAAGAACAAAACTTTT